TGCCACCCATTCCCCCCCATGCCACCCCATTCCCCCCCATGCCACCCCATTCCCCCCCATGCCACCCCATTCCCCCCCATGCCACCCCATTCCCCCCCATGCCACCCCATTCCCCCCGATGCCACCCCATTCCCCCCGATGCTACCCCATTCCCCCCATGCCACCCCATTCCCCCCCATGCTACCCCATTCCCCCCCATGCCTCCCCATTCCCCCCCATGCCATCCCATTCCCCCCCATGCCTCCCCATTCCCCCCCATGCCACCCCATTCCCCCCCATGCCACCCCATTCCCCCCCATGCCACCCCATTCCCCCCCATGCTACCCCATTCCCCCCCATGCCTCCCCATTCCCCCCCATGCTACCCCATTCCCCCCCATGCCTCCCCATTCCCCCCCATGCTACCCCATTCCCCCCCATGCCATGGTATGAGAGCAGATAGTTTGCCGCACAGGGCAGCAGCAGCGGAGGTCATGGCCATGTTGGACGCCAGTCTCAAGGCACGGGCCATTGCCGTCATCCACGACTCTCAAGAGCCCCTTGCCAAAAGGTCGGTTCCCCTTCTTTCTGTGTTTCAGCTTTTTTATTATTTATTTATTTATTGATTTGTTTTTTTTTTAATTGTTTATTTATTTGTTTATTTATTTGATTAAATTGAATTTTATTATTTATTTATTCGTTTATTTATTTGTAGTGCTTGGCAAGACTGGATTCTGACAGCATGCGCCGATGCAGTGCTGCACAAGTTTCAAGAGCCTTGGTTGGGCATGCCACGGTTTTACCCATACCTCGCCTCCCATACCTTGCCTCCCAGACCTCGTTTCTCCACTTCAGACGACTCCTCCCTCCTCACCCCCTGTTGTTTCCTCCAGTGGCGGAGCATTGGCGGAGGGAGTGGGGGAGTGGTCGCTTGACGAGTGCACGGTGGTGCATCGGCTGCTGCAGGACGGCCCGCTGGCAGATGAGGCAGCTGCTCAAAGTGAGTCGTGGATTGCCGTGACAGTAGATGTGTTACGGGAAGAGGTGTTTCAATACCAGGCAGGGTGTGTGTTGTGTTGTGACCGTGCATCGACTGCTGCAGGAAGGGCCGCTGCCTGATGTTGCGGCTGGGTGAAGTGTGTTTTGATTGTCGTGTGATATCCTCCTGAAAGATTGCCATGATAGGAGATGTTTCAGAACCTGGGCCGGTGTGACTTTTGAGGCGCCTCAAAAGTCGACTTTTGAGGCGCCTCAATGTGTTTTGTTTGTCGTGATATCCTACTGAAATATTGTCATGATAGGAGATGTTTCAGAACCTGGGCCGGTGTGTGGACCGCTTGAGTCGATTCTAACTCCTCTTCCTCCTTCCCTCCTTCCCTTATCCCTAGCATCCAGGATGGAAGGACTGGTGTGTGGTGCGTTTCCCCTACCCACAGCACTTTGAGAGCAGCAAGATGTGCTGCTTGAATCAACTCTAAAACCCTCTCCATCTCTCTTCCCTCCTTCCCTCTCTCCCTCCCTCCCCTCACCACCTCCCCTCACCACCTCCCCTCACCCCATCCCAGGATGGAAGGACCGGTGTGCGGCGCGCTTCCCCTACTCGCAGCACTTTGAGGGCAGCAAGAGCTCCGTGAAAGCACCTCCTCCGGTGGCTGATGGGGGAGATGAGGATGGGGAGGAGCGCGCTGCTGCTGGTGCTGCTGCCAGGGAGAACGGTGTGGTGGAGTAGGGTACGCAGTGGTGGAGTAGTTAGGGTGTGCGGCGCGCTTCCCCTACTTGCAGCACTTTGAGGGCAGCAAGAGCTCCGTGAAAGCACCACCTTTGGTGGCTGATGGGGGGGACGAGGACGGGGAGGAGGGGACCGCTGCTGCTGGCGCTGCTGCTAGGGAACGGAGTGGTGGAGTAGGGTGTGGAGTAGTGGATTAGTTAACTGGTGGGTCGCTATAACACTGTTTCCAGCATAGGCATGCCTGGTATAGCGTTCAGATTTCCGTGCAAAAAATCTATCAAATAATTGGCACAATGTGTGGCAAGTCACTGTTGCACTTGTCCCTTTTGAACAGAGTGCACCCCAGGCTCTGAGCCTGCTTCAGTGAAGTGGTTAGTGGCTGACTACTGTGGTTCGGGCTTTGGTTTGCTCTGGTGCTCATGACATTGCCACACATTTTAGACAGCAGGGCCAATGAGGCAGACATGGGTGTAGAGGGGCTGATGCCATGCTCCTCAGGCCAGTGGAAGCATAAAGCTGTAACAAGAAATAAAAGATTCTGCTAAGTGCCTTTTCACTTACCATGACTCACAGACACATCACATGCATGTTTCTCCAGTCCAGGGCAAAATCCACCAGAGTTCCGGTTACGGCAAGCAAAGCCAGTAGACATTTGGCAGTCATGGGTGTGGGCATTGTTGGGTGTGAGGATGGGCATGAAAACAAAAGTGATTTTATTAGGTCACGTGGGAGGAGTGGCAGGCAGGGAAACCATGGGATGTCAGAGGAGAGGAGACGCATGGGAATGGGGTTGGGGTGGGGGTGCGGGTGGGGGCGGGGGAGAGGAGGAAAGGCTTTGTGGTGGGATAGAGAAGGGCAGGGAACGCTGTGGGAATACTTGTTGACGAGGAAGCTGCTATTTGACGGGCAGTTGTGGCTGTCTGCCTTGAATTATGTTTTGTTTATTTTTGTTGAAGCCAGATGGAGAGGAATATTGGATGTTTGACTTATGCTATACAACATCCAGTACATGCACAACCTTTTTTTCTTGTAGTACGTCCTTGCTATCATCTGATTGTATCGATATACTTCGACAATATTGCGGTCAATTGATTCTTGTGACTTTCACGAGAAGCTCCCGCAAGGGCACTTGAGTCGTGCTGGAGAAGCCGGTTCCAGTTGTTGAATGCCAATTGGGGCAGAACACAAGGCTGTGACTCTGACGAAGTGCGATCCCCAGAAACACCACACAGCAATGTTCTTCAAGCCAGGATTTCGTTTCGCGCGTCGCTTATAACGACGTAGCCTTGGAACCCAACGAACTCGATCACTCTCATGCGAATCCACTCGAATGGTAACCTCAAAACCCATCTCCTTCTCTACTCCCCCGGATTGGCTTAATAATTTTCGCAATAGCGACACCCAAGGCGGCGCGAGATCGCGAAATAAATGTGCGCTTCCCCGCAGCACAGCGGCACGCGGAATCGAGATCGCTTCACCACACACGCCAAACACACTTGCCCCAAATGTCAAGACTCAAGAGAGAGGTATCGTCGTACTGCCCGCTGCTGGTTGCAATTGGTGTAGGATGGAATCAAGGCAGCACTCCTGTAAGTCGAATGCGCGCACCTGAACCGCATCCCGCCACCCACCCTTGGCCCTTGCTGTCCCGCGCCGCCCCTGACCCCAAGACCAACCTGTACCCTTGGTTTCTCCAAGGCATCCCCTTGGTCTCATCCGATCCGATCCATTGATTTCATTGAAATCTTTGATCTCATCCGTCCCTTTCTCTCATCCATTTCCCTGATTTCACCCACACCATCCCATCCAATGCACTGGTTCAAGCTATCCCCTTGGTTTGCTGATAAGCAAGGACATCAACCCTTGGTTTTGCACCACCCTGGTTTCACGAAGCGCCTTGGTTTTCCTCAGTTGAATTCCACTTACAAAGCTCGGTGCCTTGGTCACAGCGTTCTCTTATCGACCTTTAGAACTCGGTTTCCAATTCTTGCCAGGAATAGATTGTATCAGCAAGTTGGTGTCTTCTCCGTTGCCCTCCCTCACGCACCTGCTTCCAACAAACTCACGTCCCGAACAAACTTGCGTTCCGCCGTATTATTTCTCTCAACAAGCATCGTCCGTCCATGGCGTCAAGATAAAACGATCTTCTCCGCCTCATGGATTCAACACAGCAAACACACCCCGCATCCCCTTGCGGTGATATGAGAGATTGGCGTCGACCAATCCCACAATCGTCGTTCGCTACTCCCAACCAGGCTCCCAGACCCTGCACCATGGAACCACCCTCCACCGAACCGGATCGCAATCCACCGTCCCCCGTCAGCCCTTTCGGCGTCGAGCATATCACAAGCCCAGACAGCTACTACGGTCGGCTCTCGTCCCACGCATCAGAGCGCACCCACACCCGCGATCCCGCCCCCACTTACGTCTCTCCGGAACCCTTTCAACTCCCTAGGCCTCCATACCACTTCCCCGATCAATTTTCGACCAGTAACGACGGTCAATACTACCCCGCGCTTCCTTCCGCCGTTCCATCCGCGCACCAGCTACGTACCTTCCCTCCTCAACACCTCCCTCGCACCTCCGCAGATTTTCCTTGGGCCCCCTCAGTTTCTAATCTGTTTTCTCCTCTGCCGCTCGATTCGGGTGACCGCGAGTACCCCAATTATCCCGCACCGCGTCAGCTTTATGACCGGTCTGAAGCGACACTATTGCAGCAAGCCCTGCAGCATTCCCAGCAGCAGCAGCAGCAGCAGCATCAGCAACAACATCAACAGCAACGGCAGCAGGAACAGCACCAGCGCATCACTCCCACTGTTAACGTCCGTCAAGACACGAGCCATTTCCAATCCTCACTACACGCATCAACCACACCAACTTTATCAACTCCGCCAATCTCCCCTCTTTCCACAGCCCTTCTCCCGCCCGCTTCCGCCCCTCCGCGCCTGGTGCGCGCGCGCTCGCCCGCCCCCCGCCCTTCCGACTCCTCCGCCTCCCCGTTGGCGAGGCCAGTTCCGCTCAACTCCCGCGTGTGGCTGGCAATCGAGCTGCTCTGCATCCTGGCGCAAATCTCCGCGGGAGTGTGCGTGCTCGCGCTTTTCCCCCACGAGAAGCCCCCCGTACCGCTGCGCCTGTGGATACTCGGTTACACGCTCGGCTGCCTCTTGCTCCTCCCGCTGCTGTACTTTCGCTACACTCACCGTGCCCTCAGTAACGGCGGGGACTTCTTACTGTGGCAGCAGCAGGAGGAGGAGGAGGAGCGGCGGCGGCGGCAGTGGCGGCTGCGCGAAACGCCGTCGCGGCCTGCGATGGCTTCGTCACGGCCCATGTCGTCTCTCAGACTCCCACGTGCCGCACCCGCCGCCGTATCAGCGGTCGACATATCCTCCTCTTTACGCTCCTCCATCTCTTCTTCTTCCAGTTCCTCTTCCTTCTCGTCCTTACGGCCCCGCTCACCGGGAGGACTGGCGTTTGCGGCGGCGCCTGTGGCGGCGCAAACGGCGCCCAACACCCCGTACGTAGGCGCAAGGGCGAGCGGAGGAGGAATGGATGCAGCGGGCGGATGGGCTACCCCTTTCGGGGGCAGCGTTACTGGAAGGGCCGAACCGGCGAGTGCTGCAGGCTTGGTGCCCGAGGCGGCTGGCGGTTTTTTTCCGGAGAGGAGCAACGAAATCGCGGGAGGAGGTGGAGGAGGTGGAGGAAGTGGATGGCCTGCAGCCCGCGGTGTAGACATGTACAGTGCAATATATTATAATGGTTATCCTGATGACGATGACGAGGACGAATCGTACGGTGCGGGGCGGTACAGCGGGTTTCGGCACATGGCGGCGGCAGTGGGGGAGAGGATGCTGTCGAGCGTGCGCTGGGTCGTGGACGAGCTGCAAGATGACGCACGGTGAGTCTGAAGTTGTTTGCGGTGATATGGGGCGGCGTGCGGTGGTATGGGGCGGCGATGGGGGAGTGGATGCTGTCGTGCGTGCGGTGGATCATGGACAAGCTTTAAGCCGACGCACGGTGAATCCGTGGTAGTGTGCGGTGTTATGGGGTGACGTACGTCTGTAAGAGTTATCGTGCGGTGCTATCGTCCCCTCTACTTCCCCGTTTCCCCTTCGTTTACCCCTTCAAACCTTTTCTTCCCCCTGCCGGCGTCTCCCCTCCCCCCTCTTCGGCGGGCATGCAGGGTGCTGGCTCTAGTGGAGCGTTACAAAGTAACACTCGACTGCTTCTTCGCAGTGTGGTTCGTGCTGGGGAACGTGTGGGTGTTCGGCGCTAATTCTGCCGCCACCACAGCGCCTAATCTTTACAAGTGAGTGCCTATATCCCCTCAGCAGCCCCTTCATTGCTCCTTGTGGACTTTTGAGTCGACTCAAAAGTCAACTCGCTAATTCTGCCGCCACCACAGCGCCTAATCTTTACAAGTGAGTGCCTGTATCCCCTCAGCAGCCCCTTCATTGCTCCTTGTGGACTTTTGAGTCGACTCAAAAGTCAACTCGCTAATTCTGCCGCCACCACAGCGCCTAATCTTTACAAGTGAGTGCCTGTATCCCCTCAGCAGCCCCTTCTTTGCTCCTTGTGGACTTTTGAGTCGACTCAAAAGTCAACTCGCTAATTCTGCCGCCACCACAGCGCCTAATCTTTACAAGTGAGTGCCTATATCCCCTCAGCAGCCCCTTCATTGCTCCCTGTGTGTTTGTCCCGGGCAACGTCTGGGGGTACGGCGCTCACCCTGCTGGGTGTCCCAGGCAACGTCTGGGTGTATTGAAATCACTTTTGAGAATTCTCAAATGTGTTCGTCCCAGGCAACGTCTGGGTGTATTGAAATCACTTTTGAGAATGTGGGTGTATTCTCAAATGTGTTCGTCCCAGGCAACGTCTGGGTGTCACCACCTGGTGGTGTACGACGCTCGCTCTGCCGCCACCGTTTTTTGAGGCGCCTCAAATACGGCGCTCACTCTGCTGCCAACGGTTTTTGAGGCGCCTGAAATACGGCGCTCACTCTGCTGCCACCACCTCCCCATCCCACTCCCCATCTCCCTGTCCCTTTCCCTCCCTTCCCCCTCCACCCGTCGCCTCCCCCAAATCACAGCCCCCCAACCTCATTCCCATTCCCAACGTGTAGCGAGGGTGTTTTTGAGACGTCTTAAAAACACCCTCGCTACACGTGCCAAATCACAGCCCCCCAACCTCATTCCCATTCCCAATTTCCCGTCTCCCCTCCCCCAAATCACAGCCCCCCAACCTCATTCCCATTCCCAATTTCCCGTCTCCCCTCCCCCAAATCACAGCCCCACAACCTCATTCCCATTCCCAATTTCCCGTCTCCCCTCCCCCAAATCACAGCCCCCCAACCTCATTCCCATTCCCATTTTCCCGTCTCCCCGTTCCTCCCTTCGCCCCATCCCCCCCTCTCTCAGTCTGAGCGTTCTGTTCATCGCCCTCAGCTGCGTCAGCTACGCGTTGCCGTTCCTCCTCTGCGCCGCCATTTGCTGCTGTCTGCCCTGCCTGCTTCACATTCTCGGCCACCCTCACCACGACGACGAGCACGGCGCATTCCCTCTCGCGCGCAGCAGCAGAGGCGCCACCACAACCGCCATCACGTCCCTGCCCTCGTTCAAGTACCGGAGGCTGCCGGATGGGCGGGGTGGGCGGGTGGTCCGGCTGCGAGGGAAACGTGCTGCTGCTGGTGCTGGTGCTGCTTCTGCTGCTGCTGGGAAGGCTGTTGTTTCTGACTGTTCTTTGAAATTCAAGATGGGTGAACAGGCGGTCGCGGGCATGGGGCGAGAACACCTCGGAACAGGCAGTGCGAGGGAGGGGAGGGGAACGGTGGGAGGGAGCGGGGCGGAGCAGGGGCGAGGGGGTGTTGGGGGAGGAGCGGGCGGGTGGTTTGGCAGGCTGGGTGGATATCTGATGCGATGCAGTGCGGATGCTGCTGGTGCTGCTGGTGCTGCTGGTGCTGCTGGTGCTGCTGGTGCTGCTGGTGCTGCTGGTGCTGCTGGTGCTGCTGGTGCTGCTGGTGCTGCTGGTGCTGCTGGTGCTGCTGGTGCTGCTGGTGCTGCTGGTGCTGCTGGTGCTGCTGGTGCTGCTGGTGCTGCTGGTGCTGCTGGCACTGCTCGTGTTGGCGTTGAATATCCTGTCGCTGCTGCTGTGGCCAGTGGTGGTGGTGGTGGTGCTGCTGCTGCTGCTGGAAATGTTGCTGCTGGTGCGACTGGCAAGGGTTGTGTGGCAAGAGCAGGAGATAGGAGGAAGAGTGCGAGTGAGAAGGAGAGTGAGCAGAGGGAGAGGGAGGGGGGAAGTGAGAGGAGGGCGACTCGGATGAGGAGGAAGAGAGTGTGGTGGGACTGCTTTGGCCTGGCACAGACAAGCAGAGACCAGTGCGAGGGGGCGATGCTGTGAGTCGTTTCTTCAATTCTTCGATTCTTAAATTCTTCTATTCTTCAATTCCTCGCTTCTTCAATTCTTCAATTCTTCAATTCTTCCCTCAACCCACCTCAACCCTCAATTCGCTGTCTTCTCAGCACTTCATCCTCCCATCCGTGCTGCATATGTTTTCCCCTTATCTGTTTTCTCCTTTACCTGGTTTCTAGGGTTCCATGCGCGCACTTCTTCTTTAAACTCCCCCCAACCCCAACCTCACAGCTCTGCTGCATCTGCCTACGTCGCTATGGGACGGGGTATATCCTCCCCTCTCCTGTACTTATCCCCTTCTGTTGCGTTTCCCCACCCAACCCCACTGCACCGCACCCCACTGCACCGCACCCCACCCCACCCCACCCCACCACACCGCACCCCACAGCTCTGCTGCATCTGTCTGGGTCGCTATCGGGACGGGGTGGACCTTCGAGAGCTGCCCTGCAGCCACCACTTCCACCAATCCTGTGTTGACACGTGGCTCAAAATCAACTCCTCCTGCCCGCTCTGCAAGGAGGACATCACGAATCGCCCGAGACTCGAGGCCGATGGTGAGAAGTGACTGTAACGAAGTGTGACCATTGTGGGATGTGACTGTTTTGGAGGCCTGAAAAGGTGCCTCAAGTTATTTGTTCCTATGGAGGTACCTCCTTTGTTCCTATTACATACCTCTAACATCCATTTCAATGCCTCGTGGCCCCCCTCCTTCCATTCCAACCCCTCCCCCCTCTGCCGCTCTGTCCCAACCATGCCACGTGTCACCTGCATGCATCCTTTTGGTCCCTTTTGTTTGACTTGACAATGGCGTATACTTGCTGTGCCTTGACCACCAAACCCTCGCCTTCTTCCCTTATCCACATTCCCCTGCCCTCCAATCTCGCCTGCCACGTGTCAGCTGCAAGCATCCCTGTTGCACCTTTTGTATAAGGGCCCATTCGTCGCAGACATGGAGGGTTACGCTATGCAATCAAGCACCTTTTGTATGACAAGGGCCTATTTCTTGCAGACGTGGAGGGAAATCCCACGAGCCACAAGATCAGCCATGCAATGAAGTATGGGATTGCGAGAGGAATCACCAGGACCTGAATTTTTTAGTCTATTGTTTTTCCATCAGGCAGCAGCTCACCTCGAGCTGCTGTAGTAGTGCAGCAGAGATGCTTTTGTAGCTTGGGAGGGCTGGCTTGAGCTGTGGGAGTGTTTTTGGAGTGAGAAGGGATGCGCATGGTGTGCCTCTGTATTTAATGTTTTGACTTGCTGGAAGGGCACTGCACTGCTGGTACTTTTTTGGGTGTATTGTACACTTCACTAATGTTTTGACGGGCAAAAAATCAAGGATTATAGCGTTGACAATCACAACAGTCACTAATACTCATACATACTACGTGGGTGATGGTCATGTGACTGGCAACTTCGAACCACTCATGCTGTATGGGCGCATCAGAGGGTTCGTGAGTAGGACGAAGACGCTGCGTCCTACTAACATCGGTTGGCCTGGGTCTACAATTACAGCTCATTTTTTCTTGCCCACACCATGCAGTTTCCACACATGATCCTAATACCCAACATGCCGTTAATTCTCGCCACCATCCCGTACATCCAACATAACCAACACCACTAGCTCACTCTAAAAGCATGAAAACAACACTGTCGCCAAATGTGGCGAGAAGATTTGGTATTCAACAGATGACATAGGTACACCTAAAATGGTCTATTGTTCAAGCACGTCAAGACTCACTTCAGTAACATCCGAATCCAGCCCTACCAATTTTTATTCCGCTACTACTTCTAAACCGCTTCAACCACCGTGTTTCACAACTGCGCACATTATTAGTGTTTTCCAATCCGGACCGCACGCCTTCTCTGTCCGCCGTTATGCGAAGCCGAAGTTTGTCCTAGAGATGTAGTTAACGGCCTGGACCCAGTTGGGCGGCAGCGCATTCCAGATGACGAGCGACGCGTTGTCGTTGCGCGAAAAGAGGCGGAAGGAAAGCGACTTGCCTGTGATCTTCTGCCCGGAAAACGTCCAGACCGACCCGTAGGATCGAGTCATGGGTTGGAACGGACCACGGTTCAGCGACAAATCGACCCGGCGCAGATCCCCCGATCCCGCGACGTTCTTAATCAAAGCTGCAAAAACGCGACAAAGTGTAGGAAAGAAAGAAAATCGAGGGTTTGATACCCTAAGGACCTCAAATTCCAAAACAATTCTAAATTCGGCCACCCGAGCAAAATCCAGGCGATTGGTTGCTTGCACATTGCGCGGCTAGATAACTCATCGCGACATGCTTAAGTTCAATCTACGAGAGGATAAAGAGCTTGTTATTTTTTTTTGGAAGAAATTTGAGGACCGGGACTGCAAACTGAGAGACCTATTCTCACCTTCGATGTAGTAAGGGTTTCCGGTCACGTTGAACACGATCCCTCGCTTCCGCTGGCACAAAACGCGTTTCACCAAAACGGGTACAACTCCGATGTTCGGATTCGTCGCAATCATATTCCACGCCGTCGGTGCGAGCGACAGGCTCATCTTGTTCCCGTCGCACCACCCCCCCGACGACAGCGGCGGGCACAGGTTACTAACGGTCAGCATCGGTGACACGCCGGGTTTGCATAGCGGGCTGTTGACGCACTTAACGCGTAGGCACGCGCCGCACAGCAACCCGGACTGGTAGAGCGACGCGGAGGCCGACGCGGTGAACACTCCGAAGCCGGACTGCTGTGCGGTGCCGTATCCACACGACCCGCCGTCTCCCTGTCCGCCGTAATACGTGGCTGTGAATCCCTTAGCCCACGTTTCGTATTTCCCGCCGTTGGCTTGTGGAAAAGCGGCAAAGATGGAGAGAGTGAGTACGAGTGCGAGCGACATGAATCTCCAAGCCATGGGTGCGGATTCGGCTAGGAAATTCCAGAAGCGCTAGCTGAAGCTTGCGAGTGCTAAACCTGAAAATCGTTATGCTAAACAAGCCTCAGCACCTCAGACTCCGTCCTGCTTATTGTTCTGCCTCGTAAGCGCTATCCTATTCTCGATGGGAGGAAACCAGGAGAATTTGGAGTCAGAATCGTAGGTGGCGGCTCTTACTGATGGAAGAGGGAAACAAAAGATGCGACACAGCACCAAGAGCAAGGGAAAGAGAAGGGCTGAACAGATAAGAAAGAGGAGGGAGCGGCGTTTGGGTTACAGTCACATGAAATGCCGCAAGTGACGCGCCGCTGATACAAATTCCGCCTCGCCTTGAGATTTTTCGAGATGGGGAATGGGATGTGAGAGATGCGGGGTGACCGAGTCGCGCGTCACGACGAGGGAAACTCCTCGCGCCGTTGCGCAGGACGGGCCAACTTGGTGACTTTCGCGAAGCGGCTCGTCCGCCGTGCAACGTGTGTCACGTCCAGGTTTGGGGTTGCCGAACGAGGCTTGTCCGCAAGTCGGGGTGCTTTGGAAAAGGTCTTGTTTCGCCGAATGACTGGTTTGTGCTTGAGAGACGTGCCTCGTATGTATCTCGTGACTGACCAGAGCAGGTCACGAACCTGACTTAGGTCAGTTTGGCTTGTCGCGGAACCTCCACCGTGGTAAGTTGCACATTGGTACTGCCCTCCGCGTATTGCACCTCTCATTACAGTAAAAGCTGTCGGCCAATCTTCTCTAAATAATTCATTCATGTATTATTTCGCTGATGTACTGTATTGTTGAGCTAGTGCACATGCTACCTTGTTTAGCTAATGACAGAAGTGGCAAGGTCTCAAGCTAGCTTATGGTGGCAACACATTCTTGTGAAATAATCGCCACCATTGCTAAAACAATTTGGTTAGTGCTTTGTTACTTATCAACACATTAAAGGTGGCTAAAATTATCATGGCTATGCAAAGCTCGTTAGGAACATCTGACATGGCAAAAAGAGTGCCTTTTTCTGTTGTGAGCACGCCCACCACGCTCAGACTAGGCCATTCCGTGAGTCTTGGCCATCTGCCTCCTTTCCAGTGTAGATTAAAGATACCTGCATATGACAACAAAGCAAAACACAACAGTAGCAGCTTAGAAATACAGCTGTCAATGCAGTTTCTATGTCAGCGGCAGCATAGTTTGAGCAATCTTGATTGGCACATCCGAACCATCCTTTTTCAAAAGAACCCAACCCATTACCTCACGTCGAACCTCTCAAGCACTTGTCCTACCCGTGAGTTGGTAACATGTGAGCCATATGTTGTTTCACTCATTTTACATGCAGTGGTCTGCCCTTCAGGTGGCCTATCAATACTGGCTACAGTATTTCCTCCCCTTGTTCTGACACGTCCTCAACAACACTCCCACCTACATACCCTCTTCCCCTCCCCCCCTCCCTCCTCAAAACTCACTGAGAGCTGATGTTTGAGGCGCCTATGGGATTGGTGCAACAACGCTCACCAGTGAGTTATCCATGGTGATGGTCATGCTGACATTGCAAGGCTTTTGAGGCGCCTCAAAAGGCAACACTCACCAGCGGAGTTGTCAAAGGTGATGGTCATGCGGTTATTGCATGGCTAGCAGCCCTAATACTTCCTTCCAACTTCACAGCTTCCCCGATGTTTTAGTGCAGTTCCAGAGCTCCCAGCTGAGAGCCGTCTCTGGTGTCAGTGGTAGCGCCAGCTGCCCCCCGCCCTCCCCTTCTATTTTTGAGGCGCTGTAAGAAAAGGTTTCAATACTCTCTCACCTGAGAGCCATCTCAGCGACACTCTTAATCTGTTGTCTCTGGTGACGGTCATGGTGTCAATGGTGCGCCTAGCTGTCCAGTTCATTCCGCCTACACACTTTCCCTCCTCCCTTGTTTCAAATCGTTTACACCCACCCACCTGGGAGCCGTCTCTGGTGATGGTCATGGTGTCAGTAGTGGGGCGGCTGCCTTTGAGGCGAGCTGGCGACCCCAGGTACAAGGCTTTTCTCTTCGCCTCCAGATACTTCTCATACGCATACCACCCGATTCCACACGAGTTCACCAGCAGACCCAGCAGGTTCGTGGGGTTCAGCTGCGTTTGGGGAAAAAAGAGAGGAAGGACGACGGGATTCTTTAGGTGTTTGAAAAGCTAGCAACTTGTGGGATTAATCTGCGAATGGGTGGGGTGATGATTAGCGCTGTGGTGGGGCGGAATTCAGGCTGCAGCGAGGACAAGGCGGACAGGTTTGGATGGGATCAGGGAATGGAGAGAATGAGTGAGGTAAGTGTGTTTGTTTGTTTGCAACATATGCATAACACTTGTGTGTGTGTGTGTGTGCGTGTGTGCGTGTGTGTGTGTGTGTGTGTGTGTGTGTGTGTGTGTGTGTGTGCATGTGCAGTCATGTCTCACCAGCACATCCCCAAATGCAAAGAGCCCACCAAGGCCTTGCAGAATGGACTTGGTTCGGCCTGAACGGCACAAGCAGACGAAGCACGGAGCAGATGGGCAAAAGGGAAAGTTGAGGGGGCAGGCCAATGAGGGTGCAGGCAGACGAAGGGATAGGAAAACAGCACCATTAACCGCACTTCACCGTGAACCCACTTGTGCCATCAGACAAGCAGTCACAGCCACCCATGCCGCCCAAACCATTCCTGGGTACGTCTGATCATCCAACATCCAATTTGGTGCCTTGTCCAGTCAATCTAGCCATTCTTACCGACAATGCTGGTAGTGAGCGAGTCGTTGACGAGTGTGCACAGGTACGTGGCGAGGTTGAGGATGAACGCAGACGCGCAGGACAGCACAAAGTAGAAGAGGAACATCACGGTTTGCGGGTGCAGCACCTCTCTCACAGCCACCAGCTCGCCGTTCCACACCACCAGCAGGATCGAGAACGGCAGCGACCAAAAGTTGTTGTACAGCAGCAGCGTGAACGAGTCCAGCTGTAGCTCCTCCCCAAGCTTCCCCACTATAACGACGTACGCAGCTGTTGCTAACGCGGATGAAAGCGCCAGGATGTAGCCTGGCAGGTCAAAGGTCAGGTCTCCTAACCCTGCTATGAACCCCCTGCTGTGGTGAGGTAAACGGCTAGCTGGATTCGTGTGGAAGCCTTTTTTGAGCGGAGGAAATAGTCTAGGAGGAGGACGAAGGGAGTTGTGGATGATTTGAGGACCCCGTACATGGGGATGTTGACTCTAGAGAGGGCGGACATGTCTAGAAGGAGCTTCAGAAGGAAGGCGAAGGATAGAAGGAAGACCTGGTAGGGGGGAGGGAAGGGATCCGGGAAAGTGGAGGCAATGGGAATAGGAAGGGGGGTGGGAGGGGAGGAAGGGAACGAGGAAAGAAGTGGAGAAATGAGTGCTGATGGAACGTTGGGGATCCGAGGTCGAACAAAAATAATGGATGACGGGAGGTTCAGTTCAGAGCAAGAGCGCGTGTGTGCAAAATGCTTACCCGTTGAAAGACGTAGAACTGAAACGGCGCCAATCGAATGACCCGGAACCGTCGCATGAGCAGTAGGAGGACGAGCGTGAAGCATGTTTGACCCAGAACCAGCGTGTACGGATGGTTGAAATGATACACGTGGAAAATGGCCTTGTTGATAAACACGCTCGCCACTGACATTCCGCCTGGCGCACGTAAGGAGATTAATGGTGATGAGAGGAAGATGAAAAGCTACTGAGATTCACCGTGGTTGGTACAAAAAGCAGAAAGTAACGACAGTTGATATGGAATAGTTGTGGAAATATTGCAATGAGGTATACATTTTCGTATCAGACGGCGGGGTTAAGGATTCGGTACTTACCATAGAAGCACGCGATTACTAGTCCTCTGTAGTTCATCTCGATACTCGGGAACTGGAGCTACCAGCTGTATGTTACTGTTGGTATTGGTGGTGCGTCAACGGTGTCAGTGTTGCTGGTGATGTTAGTACTGTTCTCCTTCTAACAACGAGTGATCAGCACATGCCACGACGATACAAGATAAGTTCGACAGCGGAATCTGAAAAAACACCTCCGCATTCTTCTTATCCTCGTCTGAACACTCTGATCGACGACTGAAGTACTGCTTAACTTGAAGTAACACTGGCTGCTTTAGCTTGAGCGTTTCAGATTCTCAGCAAGAAACTCGTTACCCCAACAAGCGCATTGAGCTCAAAAGATAATCACGGGCCTGTTGCGAGCGTCATGCGGAATATATCAGCTCCGTTACCTACAGCTGCATCAACTGTGTATGGTGACTGTCAGTCGAAAGATTAATCTAGAAATGCGGTTACGGAGAAAGAGCGGCAACATGAGCAGCCATGTCAGAGGAAGATGCTCGTAAACCACCAGCCGAACGTCACTCAAAAAGCCAAGCGGTACTGTTGACTTCCATTATTTGCTTCCCAACCAAACAAAACGGTGAAGAACGGTTGATTGCGTTTATGAGCAAATACTCAAATTAACCGCTTTGAACCGCGCAGTTGACCTGCGTAAACAGACGACAATCCTTGAAATGAGAGTTCTAGGGGAATCTCCTGGTGAACGGGGGACTCCTTCCTAGCTACCTAGGGACAGGCACTCATGCCACATGTCCAATAAGAATTCGAGGAAAATGTCGAGGGCGCAAAATGCGCGGGAAAGCCTAGCGTGACTGCACCGCGAAGCGGGACAAGTTCAAGGAACAGGGTGGATGCGATCGCGCACGATGATTGGTTCAACCTCTTTCTTGTAAGGGGGTCATTAAATTCGGTGTTGAGAACGAATTTCACACTTGCTTCAGCACCTTTCATAGACGGGAAACATGTTCTGAACCACCAGCAAACGGAGTGCATAGACGTCTATCTCAGATGGAACGGAGATCAACCTCAAACGCGTACCTCTTGAACACATCTCTCACGTTTCACATTCCTCTTCCTCACACCACCTCCATAAATAACGCCCTCTACTTTATTGCTCCATTTCCCGTAGCTACACTTATCTCTCCCAACACGTCTTGAGAGTTGCACCTGGAAATTGGGCGCTATCACTAATATTCAATGGCGTCCTGTCCAGCAGCTTCGCTGCATCAATGCCCCCTCCAAGGAACCACCGTCCAGGCACATCAAAAGCAATTTGTCGTCGGGCCAGCCACCGACACCTCGTTTCCATCTCGCGGCAGCAGCTGCTGTCTTGGCTCCACCAGGAGCAGCTTCTTACCCGCGCGTCGACCGTATGCAGCTCCATCGATTTCCCGACAAAAATCGCAAACTAGACCTGTTGTACGCGTGACCGCGAGCGGCGGAGGCGACGCGGTCGGCCTGGGCCACGGATCAGGCGCCTCGGCGGGAGCAGCCGCAGCCGCAGCCGCAGCCGCAGCTGCAGCAGCGGCCGCACACGACGGCGCCAGCGGCGGGGGTGGCGGCGGCGGCGGGTACGCGTCGTCGTGGGAGGCGAAGGATTACGAGGGGAAGGATTATCTGTACCGGCTGGGCGCGGAAGCGGACAACCTTCGGATCACGGTGGGCGCGAAGCACGGCAACATCGACAGCGTGTTCGTGGGGGACTTCCTGGGGAAGGACGGTGAGTGGGGAGAGGGGGAAGGTCGCAAGGGGGAGGGGAGGGAGGAGGCGAGCGAAAAGGGGGGAGTTGAGCGCGGTGAAGTGTGAGGGGGAGGGGGAAGGAGGGGAGAACGGTGGACCTTCATTCTCATGAGGAGGTTGAGATTGTTTGCGAGGGTGTTTTTGAGTCGACTCAAAAACGGGTCCCCACCACACCAATATTCTTGTTTGCGGGTTTTCTCCTCCCCTCTTCTTCTGAAAACCAAACCCGCTAATGCAATGTTCCCCCCTCTCCCCACCCGCCCTCCCCCCCCCCATTTCCCCTTCCCTTTCCCCTCACGCCAGAGGACATAGTGTTCAAGTACCGCCAGAGTGTGGCACGGTCGTTTGAGCACATTCAGGGAGGCCCTGTTACTCTCCGTTTCCCCACGACATCAACCCCCCTTCCCCTACCTTCCCCACATCCCCACTTCTCTCCGGCACTTCTCCCCACTTCTCACCAGCGGACATAGTGTTCAAGTACCGCCAGAGTGTGACTCGGTCGTTTGAGCACATTCAGGGAGACTACTACATCGCCCCCACCTTCCTGGTGGGCCTTCAATGGGATCATGTGATAAAAGTGATGTTTTGAGACGTCTCAAAACGCCCCCACCTTTCTGGTGGGCCTTTATTGAAATCATGTTCTAAAAAAATCTTCGCACACATTAAGGAAGACAACTACATTGCTCCCACCTCCCTCGTAGGCGAAGTTGATTTTTTAGTTGACCGGTAGCAGCAGGCTCAGAAGTCAAATCCGCCCCCACCTTCCTTCCTGGTAGCCTGCTGCTGCTGTTTGGTCATCACAACTGCATTCTTCACAGTTTCACTCTTTTTTTCCGGCAATTTATGAGCCGCGTGCTGATTTTTAGGACCATTTTAATAACTTGCAAAGTAGCCTACTTGTTCGACGCCACCCCTTCAAGCTTCCTGTATCATTCCCATCTGATGTTCTCTGTGCTTTGTCTGATCCCCATCCTCCATGTGCCTATCTCATCTCATCCTTTGACCACAAAAGGACAAAGTCGGTGAGTCACCCACTTTTTGTATTTCCCTGTCAATAATTTGCATTCAACTCAAGCTAGAATCTTAACAAAGGTTCCGTGCATCTGCTGCAAAAATTGTTAATACAGAATTAACATTCTGTATATCAATCTGCCGGTTTGCTAGAGGAGTGCACAATTTCATTCTCAAGGAGCAGCTGAAACGGTGAAGCGAATCTACCACAATCGAGGGTTCAAAACGCTTTTCTGCTTTGACCAATAAGAGCAGCTGATTCTGCTCAAAATGTTATTTCAAAGTTCAAGATTTCAGCTCGACAATCTACAGTGGCGAAATCGGTTCGCGCGGCCGCTCAGAACGGTGTTGTTCCGAACAGTGCTGTTCTGACCACAGTTCGACCAATCAGAGTGGCAGAATCAGTTCAGTGCTGTTCAGAACCGTGCTGTTCAGAACACCGATGTTCAGAACATCACTGTTCAGAATGTCGACGTTCAAAACGCAACTATTCGAGGGAGCTGATTGGATACTGCTCGAGCAGCCTGTTCGCGTGCTCCGAACCTCCGAAACGACGGCAACGCCAAACACAATGAACACGCACACCTGCTCACGTGTTTTGAGCGAGGAGTCTTCTGCCAACTCAGCTCGTGAGTGGAGTTCCGAACTTGAGTTTTCGAACACCGTTTGAACGGATTGATCCGAGCCGTTTCAAAATGGCGCGAACTTTCCCTCCCGAATCGTGGTCGTCAAAATAAGTCTTGGCGCGAGCATTTTCGAAATGACTCGCTGGCGAGGCGCCAACCCGCCAAGTCACACCCTGAATTTAGCAAAACACGAAATGCTCGCGCAGCGTTCACAATAGCCATTGTGTAGAGGTGTTAGACAGTTAGCATTAGGAACCGCCTAGAGGCTATAAATATGTATGCTCTGAATTATGAAAAAACAATACTCTGCCACGCATTTATTCTCACACGCTACTATCAGAATTGACGTTTGCTATCGACTGACTCTCTGCCTACGCCGTGACAAGGGCTTCCACTGTTGTAACTCTACTCTACTGAATCTCTCTTTCAACAAACTCGGACCCTTGGATAGGGGCTGACTTTCGTCAGGCACCCAAGGACCCTCGGAGGTGACCCCGAGAAGAGTCGTTTCAGTAATTGTAGAACTATCAGCAGTAGGAACGAAGGGATTTTATACTATCAAAAATGGCCACTGTTTGCAGGTGCACAAATAGCAGACACATATTCGCGCCTTCCTCCGCACCTCCCCGTCCCTTTCTCCTCCCCTTTTCCCCCCGTTACAGTCACATTCATTGCAAAGAACTACCTCGCTTCTCAGCTCAGCTGCCGGATCCCTCTCATCCTCGGTAAGTATGTCCCAATCAACCGGATGCGAGCCGAATGGCTTGTTGATTGTTACGGCGCTCGCTTGTAACGTGCTGCCAGCTGGACTACCTCGCTTCTCAGCTCAGCTGCAGGATCCCTCTCATCCTCGGTACGTCCCAACCGACTCAGTAGGAGCAAATGGGCTTCTCGATCATACTTAAGGATCCTCAAGGATGGGGCAATCATATGGAGCCAATCATTTTGTCTGTTTGTTATCTTGCCCCCTTTGGTTCTTTTTTTGGCAGGCATTTGGGGCGGCAAGGGGCAGGGGAAGACGTTTCAAGTGGAGCTGATATTCAAGGCGCTGGGTTTAGAGCCAATCATTCTTTCAGCGGGGGAGATGGAGAGCGAGTGGGCTGGCGAACCGGGGAGGCTCATTCGCAGCCGCTACCGCGACGCTCACCTCGTCATCAACAATAAGGTGGGCTTTAAGGTGTCTCAGAAATTGGGTACCGTGACGCACATCTGATCGTCTACAGTAGAGTGAGCTTATTTTTGAGTCGACTCAAAATGAGCTTCTGCAAATGAGATCGATAGATGGATAGACAGCATTTGTTTTTCTCCCATTCCTCTTTATATACATATATATATATTATTTATTTTTATTTTGTTCGCTCACCTTCTTATGTGCAGGGTAAAATGAGCTGCCTGATGATTAACGACCTCGATGCTGGGATTGGCCGATTCGGTGAGTGAGCCACTTTGCTCGCATCTCATGATGCGTTGTGCATGCAGCATGTGTGAGCATGCATGCAGCATGTGTGAGCATGCATGCATGCGGCATCATGTGTGCTCCATTCCATCTTCCATGAACCCACCACACAGCCCTGTGTATCATGGGTGTCCCCCTTCACCACACTCCAACCCCTCAGCGCACACCCAAACGACGGTGAACAATCAGATGGTGGTGGGCACGCTCATGAGCCCAACGAGTCTCCCCCACCTCCTTCTCCCCCCTTTTTCCCCCTCTTCCCCTCACCTCTCCACTCCTTCGCCCCTTCACCTTCCAGCGCACACGCAGACGACGGTGAACAATCAGATGGTGGTGGGAACGCTCATGAGTCTGTGTGACGACCCAACGCGGGCCAGCGTGGGGCAGGAGTGGCGAGAGGGCGACCTGCTGAACCGCGTGCCTATCATCGTGACTGGGAACGATTTTTCCACGCTCTGGGCTCCTCTTATTCGGGACGGGCGCATGGAGAAATTCTACTGGTGAGCATCTAGCCTCCTGCCTGCCTCCAGCCTCCAGGCAGGAGTGGCGAGAGGGCGACCTGCTGAACCGGGTGCCCATCATCGTGACTGGGAATGATTTCAGCACTCTTTGGGCTCCTCTTATTCGGGACGGACGCATGGAGAAATTCTACTGGTGAGGTTGGGTGTGGTACTGGTGAGGTTGGGTGTGGTACAGTACAGTGCAGTGCAGTAGAGGGCGACCTGCTGAACCGTGTGCCCATCATCGTGACTGGGAACGACTTCAGCACGCTCTGGGCGCCGCTGATCCGTGATGGGCGCATGGAGAAGTTTTACTGGTGAGCTGAGACATGGTACGGTACGGTGTGGCATTCTATGGTGCGGTACAGTGCGGTACAGTGTGGGGCAGTGTGGGGCAGGAGTGGCGCGAGGGCGACCTGCTGAACCGCGTTCCCATAATCGTGACTGGAAATGACTTTTCCGCTCCTTGGCCCCCACTGAAGGGTATTTTTGAGAATTCTCAAAAAGTCAAAAATATTCGGTGGAAAAGTCAAAAATATTCGGTGGAAAAGTAAAAAATACTCGGTGGGAAAGTCAAAAAGCCTCCTTCAGCATCCTTGGCCTCCACTGATCCGCGGTTGAGGTGTTTTTTTTTTATCAGCGCGGATCAGCGGCGCCTCAATGCATGCGGTTTCCACTCTGTGGGCTCCACTGATCCGCGATGGACGCATGGAGAAGCTCTACTGGTGAGCCTGGATGTGCAGTGTGCTGTGTTCCATTGGGCATAGTGCTGGTACCACTCGGTGTTCCATTGGGCATCTGACTGTTCCCCCTCCATCCACCTTAATTCTTCTTACGGTTCTCCTGTAACTGACAACCCTTTCCGCCGATCATCTCCTTTTGTCCCCTCCATTTTCCCTCAACCTCTCCGCCTTTCCCCCATCTCCTCCTCTTTCCTTCCCGATCTCTATCTGGGTCCGTTACAGGCAGCCAACGAGGGAGGATATAGTGAATATAGTGTACCGAATGTACATTAAAGACGGCTTATCTCTTCAAGATATTGAGAGGCTCGTCGACACCTTTCCAAACCAACGTATGGTTATTCTCTCGTTCTTATTCTGTATACTTCACTAGTACCTTGCCCTCACTGTTCCTCTCTCTTGCCCTCACTGTTCCTCTCTCTTGCCCTCACTGTTTTCCTCTCTTGTCCTCACTGTTTTCCTCTCTTGTCCTCACTGTTTTCCTCTCTTGCCCTCACTGTTCCTCTCTCTTGCCCTCACTGTTTTCCTCTCTTGCCCTCACTGCTTTCCTCTCTCTTGCCCTCACTGTTCCTCCCACGTGCCCACATGTACCTTGTTCCCTCCATGCACTTCCCCGTGCATTGAGGCCGTTTTTGAGGCGCCTAAAAAACGACCCACGTGCCCACATGTACCTTGTTCCCTCCTTGCACTTCCCCTTGACACCCTGCCTTCCAAGCCCTAACATGTGTCACCCATTGCCGCTCTCCCTCTCTCTCCCTCCCTCATACCTTCCCCATTCCTCACTCCCCTCAATCGTCTCTCCTCACTCGGCCCAGTCCTTTCTCTTCCCTCCTCCCCCTCCTTCCCTTCAAATAGCCTTTGTTACCTCCTCCTATGCTCCAGGAGTAGCGTCAGCCGTGTGCCATTGCTTGCAACGACGTCACTTTTGAGTCGACTCAACTGTCATCTTCCTCCCCTCCAACCTTCCCCTTGTGGCCTCCTCCCTACTGTTTCTCCCCTGGCTCCAAGAGCAGCGTTGGACTTTTATGGTGCCCTTCGAGCTCGCACATATGATGAGAAAGTTCTTGAGGTGTGTAGCTGTGGTGTGGGAAGAGAGGCTCGTGTGTGTGGGGGTGGGGGGGGGGGGGGGGGGGGGCGTGCGTGCGTGTTCGTGCGTGTGCGTGTGTGTGCTCGCGTGTGCGTGCGTGTGTGTGCGTGCGTGTGTGTGTGTGTGTGTGCGTGTGCGTGCGTACGTGTTCGTGCGTGCGTGCGTGTGCAAGCGTGTGTGTGCGTGTGCGTGTGCGTGTGCGTGCGTGCGTGTGCGTGCGTGCGTGCGTGCGTGTGCGTGCGTGCGTGTGCGTGCGTGCGTGCGTGTGCGTGCGTGAGTGCATGTGCGTACGTGCGTGCGTGTGCGTGCGTGTGCGTGCATGTGTATGCGTGTGAGCTGATGCTAACCGTGTAACGAACAGCGGGCTATCTAAGTCGAGGATATTTTTCTGAGTCTACGAAAAACCTTTCATTCACCAATCCCAAACCCGATTCCCTTCTTTCTCAGTGGGTGGAAGCCAACGGTGGACCGTCCAAGGTGGGCAAGCTGCTGATCAAGCCGAGGAGATGGGATGATGGCAGCGATGGCAAGGACACCAGACCCTCCGTCGACCCTCCTGCAGTATGCTGCCCCTACCACCATGCTTCTCATGCATGTTAATCACAACGACATTTTCATGTAACTCCCACTTTCCATCAGCTTCCCAGTCCCCCCTTGCCGATTTTGGCTTACCCTATGTTCTTCCCCGTCCATCCCCTTCTCTCCTGCCATCCCACGCTCCCGTGCCCTCACTCGTCCCACACTCCAGCAAACCCTAGATGAGCTTGTAAGGGCAGGAGAACAGCTGGAGCACGAGCAGAAGCTGATGAATGAAGCTCGGTTATCGGATGAGTACATGAAGAAACAGACGGGTCCAGGGATCGGGCTCACGATGGGTTGATTGAAGAGGGTACTGGTGGGAAGGTAATTGAATTGGGGCAATCTGGCAATTTTGTCGGATTCTGAAATATAGCAGCATGGAGTTGAACATTTACATGGCCCCTTCCCAGATGGTCTGATATCAGGAAAGAGGACCATTGAATGCATAAGCTGGTAACTTGGGCCTCAGAATTAGTACAAAGATAATCTGGAAGATTAACTAAACACAATGCCTCTCAGTGCAACTACTATACGCCTGTCTACATACACACTGGTGGGTGTCACCTCCCAGCAAGGGGGTCATCAAGTTGAATATGATAATGCCTGATAGTGCCTCGAATGTCTGATTCAATTGCTTGTCCTTGATTCTACAACGCGTAGCAGCTTAGGAGACCACACTTGTCTTGAACATGGATGCACGGATCTGAGTGGCATGCACAGCGGGGAACATCGGCAGAAAAACATGAATAGAAAACAAATCAGAGAATCATACCAACGACGAGTCCAGCATAGCGAGAACATGGAAATCCATGCAATGAAAAAGATTGCCACGCCAGTGTGTTCAGGAAAAATACTCACGGCAGGAAGGTTTTGCTTGAATGCAATCTCAAGACGAGCATCGAGTGTGTTGGAGCAGACCACTCGGCCATCCTTAGAAGCCATCACAACACCTCCGGCACTGCCACGGACTCAAAAGAGATTGGAGCCACAAGTTGGTTTGAGGATTTCATGGCACTCATTGCATGAAACTTCACCAAGAAGGAACAAAGATGACATAACAAAAAAAAATCGAGCAAATAAAGCTGGGATGTGGCATACCAGTGGGGGGCAGCAGGCAGAAACTTGACCGTATCCACATCCACTGTTGGCGCTGTTTGCTTGGTGACTGTCACATACTCCTGGATAGCGCCGGGGAGAGCAGCTTTCACAGCAGCAACATCAGCTTCACGGCATCTAAGCTGCACGGCGGACTCGTTCAGGCGTACAAGTCCCTGAAATAAAGAGGAACGATGGAGTCATACGAATATATCAGGCTTCGATCACGAGACTGAAAGCAAGAGGATCACCATATGAGAAACAAACGGGAGTTTAGAAGGAGAAACGCTAGCTATTAAGTGTCTCACCTGAGCAATCACATCCTTCAACAGTTCAGTGTATTTCTTGGTGTCACTAGAGACCTTCAGGAGCTCTTTCTCTGCTGCGGCCTTCATTTCTTTCACAATGGAGTCCTGAGCTTGCAGCACTTTCAATCGAGAGGCATTCAGCTGCTTAGAATAGTCGCTGTGTCAGCAAAAAAAAAAGGAGGATAGAAAAGGCCGCCATTACCTATCGAAGGGAAAACGAAGGTAAAATGCGGACCTCGAACGTAGTCAGAACTGGATGGATCGTGGATCTATAAAGAGCTTACATTTTCTTCGCAATCTCGACTTGCTTCTCCTTGCGCTCATATTCTTGACGGATCTTTCTCTTCTCCGCCTCTACAAGCTGCAGCTTTTCAATGTTGAACTCCTGAAAGAAACAAAGAAAAGTGACCACATTAGGGATCCAGCGATGTCACTCTGTCGCGAGAAAGGGCTCGAACTAGGGATCTGGAGCGTGGCGCGACGAATAATGTAGCTAGTAGCTATCCGAGCTTTATGCTATACCTCTTCCGCAGCAACGGCGATTTCGTTAGCCTTCTCCTCGGCCTCTTGCCGAATGAACTCCACCATCTGCTGCACCTGCTTCGAAACCTCGGCGCCCTGCATCTTGTCAAATACTACTAAATTCGCCTGGAGAAGTGGAGACCTGATTCGAATAAGAGGCTTCAGGCCAAATCTAGCCTAGTATCCCGGAATAATCTAGGCTCCAGTGAAGTAGCGTGGCTGCTCTGGAGGAGTCTGGACTGGGTGTTCCTGTTGTGTTGGCTGTGCTGTTGCTTTTGCTGCTGCCGCATCCCAGCAGGGCCAGCGAATGTGTGAAATTGTGGGTTTGGTCAGTTCTCGGTTCAGGCTCGGCATTCCGGGTGGCAAAACTTGGGTGTTCGGTGCGAAAGGGTATTGTAGTGATGAAAATCGAAGTAACGTGTTAGATAAAATCGTTCATCAGAGATAATCCCAATTATTTGTGAAGTAGAACAGGATTACAGCTTCAAATGCTGAGTGAGACTGTTGATTCCGTATCACATTTCAAAGCACAAGAAGCTTGACATTTCATGGGCGCTCTACATTGTGCTACGAATTCTTCACACAGCAGGCTTGTGCATGACAGGAAAGCCAAGAGTTTACTCTTCCTCCTCAGCACCTTCCACAGCAGCAGCAGCAGCCCGTCCAGCAATGCGGTCAAGATCACGCTGCCCGTCGGAGGTGATGCGACGCCCACTGCAAATACAATTCACACAGGCAAACATAAGAAAAATAAGACTATTACTGTTTTTTTCTCCGACACAGCAATGCTGAGAACAATGCACCCTCGCCTTGGGCAATCAGATCCTCATTTCCGTCCAGAAAGTCCTGCTCAGAAAAGGCTGAACACTCCCCATCCATTAGGCCTGCGGCATGAAAGCTTTTCCCAAACACGTCCACTCACCATTGGCGTCCTGCTTTGCAACGCCAACTATTTCCAACTGCTGCAGCACATGCTATGCGCTTTAAAGCAACAGCCCAGCCACGCAGTCACCACAGCATGACGCCACCAATGGCACTCCGTACATAGCGCCCCATCACACACAACAACCACCCTGTTCTCTCTCTCACCCCTTCACACACACTCACTGACCCGATGGCATCCTGTTCATTCCAGCTGCTGCAGCACGCGCTGCTGAGCCCCTTCCACTCACGCCCGCATACCACCTGCCACTCACTACCGTTCTGCGCTCTCTCACCCACTCGCCCGCACACACACACCCACCCGTTGGCGTCCTGCTCGACGATACCGATGGACTCCAGCTGCTGCAGCACGTGCCGGGCGACGGACCCGCTGCTCCTGCAGAAGTGCGACGGCCGCGACCCGTTGTTCTTCGGCCCGCCTGGGGGGGTAGAGGGGGGAGGGGAGGGAGGGAGGAGGAAATGAAGGAGGGGGATAGGAGAGGGATATGTTTTCGGAAGTCTCATAACTCGTGCCGGGCGACGGACCCGCTGCTCCTGCATAAGTACGACGGCCGCGACCCGTTGTTCTTTGGCCCGCGTGGGATGGGGGAGGATATGAGGAAGATATGTTGGTTTTAGGGAGGAGGATACAGAAGGGGGGTACGAGAAAGGGTACGGGAGGGGGGTATGGGAAGGAAGTAGGAGGATAATTACGGGGATATGATAGGGGTATACGTGAAAAGAATAAACGAGGGGAACGGAAGAGGGGATGTGGCCGACGAAACAGATTGCAGAGAAGAACGAAGGGACAAATGGAAGGCCCTGATGCGGGGGAAGACGAGAGGGACTAAGAAACAGCAGCCTCAGATATTACGTCCGCACACAGTGAGAGGCAAAGGCGGAGGCGGAGGAGAGAAAACAGGGAAGCAAACGGGGTGGAAACGATTGTGTGTGTGTGTGTTTTTTTTTCTCGCGTCACAATACCGTAGATCTTCTTGAAGGCACCAACTCCAACGCCAGGCTTGAGGTACACCTTGCGGGCCATGGAGGCTGCAGGAAAGACGAGGGGAAGAAGCAGGAAAGGAACAAGCAGCATCAGCAACGCGTGTTTCAACATTTGACGCCGTCTCAAGCCACGGAGGCACCGACTTCAACGCCAGGCATGAGGTACACCTTGCGAGCCATGGAGGCTGCAGGAGGGACGAGAATCACAACACATTAGGGAAAAGAACGCATGGGCGATAAGTGCAGTGGTGATTGTCAAGAAGGCTGTTGCGTTGTTCCAGCGCCAACACAAGATTGGTGTTAGAATTGACTATCAATGGACGTAAACAACCGGTCACGATACAGCTACCGCACGATCAAGAACCAGTCGTAAGTAACCCACGAGCCACGAAAAAAACAATCCTGCAGCTATTTCCTCACAGGAGGAAGCATTCAACGAGACGTGAGAAGGGAATGTAGAAAAGCAACCACCGTACTTCGTTCTGCCTGTTGTTGCCCCCAGTGGCATTCAGAGGCATAATCTTTTGAAGAGTCTATTTCTGAGGCTCCTAAAAATGTTTCCAATGCACGATGCATTGAGAGGAGATACGCACCAGCGCGGATGTAGTACCAATCGGGATCATAGGGGGCAAGTTCCTTGTAGGTTCCTGTCTTAACGATGTCAGCCCATGTGGGAACCTCAATCTGATGCGGTCAAACAAGCGGAGGAAGGAAAAAGGAAGAGGCGGGAGGGTGTTGGGGGGGGGGGGGGGGGTTGGGCGGGGGACGAGCAAGAATGAGGTTGAAAAAACCTGAAGCGAGCAGGAAAGACGGACCCCTAATGCGGACGAATGACCGAGATTAGGGCAAGAAAGGGATGAAGAGATGGAGGGAGGGAGGGAGGGAAATAAGGAGTTAAAACCGGGGAAAAGGAGGGGGGTAAGGGATGACGAGAGGAGTAAACATGCCGGAGACAGTGAGTGGTAGAGGGAGCGGCATTGCAGCACTGAGAGAAATGAACGAGGAGTGGGAGAAAGGCGTGGTGGAGAAATGGGGAGGCATTCTGCAAGCGTGTGCTGCCGAGAAACGTGGTGCGTAACGGTAGTCTGCGTAACCTGTTTCTGTTAACAGCATATAGTCTACCCGCGGGCTGCAGAAGAAGGCGCGCCCACACATGCGAGTCTCCTAACGCGTATGAACACTTTCAGTTCGCGTAACGCTTGATTCTTCTAGCGCGTACGGGCAAAGGAGATTCTAATGACGCGGCGTGATTGACGAGCCGAAAAACGCGAAACCCTAACACTGTTGACGGCGGCAGCTTCAGCGATCCCGTCCGGCAACAGCAGTTGCGGCGGCGTCGGCGCCTGATCGCACAAACTTTCGAGCCCAAGCTTGCCATAACGAAGCAATGAATGAATAAACGCTTAGGGCTGGTGGTTAACGGACCCAAGCACATCAACGGGCTGACTGGAATCCTCGCTACAAAGGCTTCGCTTGAGAGTCGACGCAAACCAGGTCAGCAGAAAAATCCCCTTAACAATGAGCCCCTGTCCCTCGCGTGATGGAAACCTAAACGCGCCATCTCCTCCCTGGACGTCACAATCTACCCGGTATTTGTCGAACCTGCAAATTAACTACCCCGCAATGGCTTTAGGTACGGTATCCAAAATCGCTTCTGGCGATCCAGAATTCGGAAAGCTTCCCACTCCTGCCTGCAGTTGACCATGCCCCTGGTTTGGAGAAATTCTAGGGATGTCCATGCCCCTGGACATGAACACAGCTACTCCCGATGGCCCTCGTTATTGTCACAATCATCACCTTGCCTGTGCGCTTCAAGTGAGCCGCATACGCCTTGACGAACGCATGCGGCGACACGTCCTTCACGGTTGTTCCTGCGGCCACCATCCTGCCCTTTTTCTTCTGGGATTAAGCTAAAATATTGAAAAAGAAACGACGCTCGTCTATGGTGCGGAGGAGAATGCGCGGCACCACGCAGGCCTATGGGGCCAGGGAGGATTCTGGCTCAAGGGCGGAAAAGGAGGTAGAGGAGAAGAGAGGAGAGCCAAAATACCGAGAATAGGTCAATGGCGGAGGGAGGAGGGCAGGGGAGGGAGAGAGGCGACGAATGGGGAAGGATAGGAGGGGAGAGGCAGTGAGGAGGGATGTGAGACAGGGGAGGGATGGAGGGGAGGGAAGCGCAAGCGATGAAAAAGGTTGGGGGAGTTTCCCCAGAAAGGCTGTGCTCGGGGGAGAATCGCGCGTGCTTGTGGGCAGGGAAATTTCGCGGCGAAGGATACATGTTTGGCGGAGACCTTGCGACAAGTTACTGAGTACGATGAGCAGTAATATAGCAGGGCGAAGGATGGTTGCCGAGGGATGTGGAGCTCGAGGCCGGTGGTGGAAAGCCACCCAAACAAATGAGTCGCACAATCGTCTATATGTTACAGAGATCATTTGAATTGATTCAAATTCTCTACTTGTATTGGTTGTAGCGACATAGTATTTCAAGCAGCCGAATTATGCACAAAATTTTGATGTGGAGTCACACACACACACAGGCTTTGCCATACATATTTTACGGAGATCATACGAGGAGACGCATACAGCAAGACATGCAAAGGCATCAACTCAGGAAAATACCACATTACACATTTGGGGAGGTGTCATGTGACCTCTCTAACGATGTATTCAGCAAAAAATCGTTTTGCCGACTCTGCATCCTTGGGAGGTGCATTCCCAGATAAGGCAGCTTGCCCTGCCAGGCGAACAAAAGTCCTGCGCAACCGTTGCAATTCCGGAAGACCAACGGGCCGCCGTAATACTATGTTGTTATTCGGTCCCAAATCTACAGTAAATGGTGATGAGGCGCCTCCTAGGGATGCCTGAGCATCCATCACAGCAGATATTACTTCCTGCTTGAAAAATAAAGGCAGAGGGGATGCAAGAGGAGTTTGGAATCGATGCGTGTGTGCGCACATGTACTGTGCATGTGTATACAGAGGGTGCGTGTGCTTCAGAAAGAGGAGGGAGGGTTGGGGGGGGTGAGGTGGTGAGGGGGAAGAGGTTCACGAATGGCAGTCATCAAGCTATCAGCATACTGCCCAGCACAGCAGGTATGGTGTACAGCATACAGCACTGACTTGGGCCACCTAAACCCTGGGCCTTCTTCTTACCTTGGTGGCTCGGTCCATCTCGTAGAGCACATTGGCATCTGATGGTGTGGCCTGGAACACCCAAAAGAAAGGGAGATTTGAACAAGCGTTGAAGCTACAAAGTTTAAGTAGCGCAGTCAAAGCTAAGGCTGCAGTCAGTGCAATAAAGTGCCAAGCCCACTTGTAGATGAGCAGCTGAATGAAACATGTGAGCATGCAATCTATGGCAAACAGTATGCCTCTGTCAAGAGAGGACTCACTGTCTGAGTCGCAACTGTTGGTTGCAAGGCCCTGCCTGCTCGCCCCTGTCCGTTTGCTGCTCCACTTCCTCCCACCAGCAGTGTCACCACCTCGCCTATAACCCGCTCTGCCTCCTCTGCTGCTTGCTCTGGCAGCAGGGGGATTGGGAGTAAGAAGAGGGGCATTCAAAAGGTATAAGAGGAGCAACATGCAGACAGACTCCGCCTCCTGTGTCCACCAGCAGTCCCGCAACTCACCATTCACTGCTCACCATTCACTGCTCACCATTCACTGCGCGCCATTCACCATTTAACACTACCACTGAAGCAACCACATCGGGATACCACCCACCAAGATGCATTGCCTTGCAAACTGCTGGCTGCATTGCACCATGCACCGCACTGCTATACAAAATACATAACATCACACTCACTGCATTCCATAGTGTCAAACATCGCGTTCACTGCAATACATAGTGTCATATGCACTGCATACCGGTGGCAGGATGAAGTTCAAAGAGGGGCGAGTCCCAGCGATTGCGGCCCACCGGCCTCTCGAATCGACCCAGCAAATCCTCCAAACTGATAAGGGGCGGAGGGGTGGAATGGGGGAGGAGGGTGGGATAACGGGCAGAGATTAGAAGAAGGGTGGCATGGGGAGGGGGAAGGATCGCGTGGAGGAGAGAATAGTTGGCGGAAGAAGATGGGAACGGGGGAGTGGAGGGGAGAGGGGGGGGTAGTTGGTTGGGAGGGGAGGACGAGGAGAGAGAGCAGGGTGGGGAAGTTCAGAGGAGGAGGAGAGAGAGGAATAGTGAAATTAATTACAAAAGAAAGTAGAAGCTAGGGATCCAGGGCTGTAGGGAAAAGTGGCAGGACACCCCTGCTTTGCGCGACCCTCAGAAGGATCCCAACAAAGCTCCCACGAACCAACACATCTCCGCACTCGCATATGGGGAGCGTAGCAGGGCTCCCCCGCGTCCCTTTTTAAGTCGACTCAAAAATAAGCTCCCACGAACCAACACATCTCCGCACTCACATATGGGGAGCGTAGCAGGGCTCCCCTGCGTCTCTGCGCCTGTCGTTCCACGCCCTTGCTGTCTCTGCCACCACGTCGCAATGCACCTGGCGGAATGAGGGGGGGGGGGGGGGGGGGGGGGGGGGAGACGGGGAAGAGGAAGGGGAAGGATAGGGGGGGGGTGCAGAGGGATGCAGAGGGATGCAAAAGCAGGGAATCCACAGGCTCACCACGCAGACACGCCGTTCTCACTCACCGCTCACACTCACTGCATCGCACTCACCACACAGTATTTGGTGGCAGCAGCACAGCTCGAATCAGTACCCCTTGTGAAATGTATGAAATTTCTTACAAATCCCTCCCACAAACGCACCACTCACCCCTCACGGCTCACACTCACCACACAGTATTTGGTGGCAGCAGCGCGTGCCAGGCACCACAGCTCGTATCGGTACCCCTTGATGGCGTTCAGAGAATCAACGACCACGATTCGATCCTTGCCGACCGCACGATCCACTTCAGATCGCAGCGATCCTCGCAGATTCTTCTCCGCTACCATGTCTGCACGGTTGACCGGGAATTGACCGGGAATTGACCGGGAATTGACCGGGAATTGACCGAGATTGACCGGGATTGACTGGGGAATGAATGAGTTTTGAGACGTCTCAAAATAGATCCTCGCAGATTCTTCTCGGCCACCATGTCTGCACGGTTGACCGGGAATTGACCGGGAATTGACCGAGGGATGAATAAGAAGTTACCCAAGGTTGTCGGGTGTGACGCAGCAAAGAAGTAATTACTTGTGTGTGAAAGTAACAGTGCTCCAATTTAGAACACTCCCAAAAACTCTTTCCAGAATAAAAGACGTACTTTGGTAGCCATCGTCTCGGCCTATGTGAAGCTGCTCCTCGCCTAGGAGGACCACCCTTAATCTTCTATCGCCGGGAGTGCTATTCTGTTGCTCGTTATTAGCAGCCTCGAGAGCCGCTACAAGCTGCCTCGCTACCGTAGTCTTGCCGCTGCACGGCTGGCCGCAAATCAGCACCAGCGCCATCCCTCGTCTGGCGAGTTGATTGGTGCAACTGTGTTTGTTTCGATCCCCCAGCGTGACTTCAAAACTTCCAAGCTCGCAATCGCAGCTGCATTGATCGCCAGTCGTGGCGACCAAGCCGTGAAGGGATCACAGTTTGCGGCGCATTACGGAGTGAGCCTGAAACAGGTTCGAGGAAATAATGTCTGTGCAATCTATTTGGAGTTCTAGTCCTAGAGTTGCTCGGTTTGATTATTCGTACAGTTGTCATACATATCAAGAATTGAGCGTACAGTTGTCATACACATCAAGAATTGAGATCTTTGTACAAGCATTGTAACGAAGCACGAATAGGGTAACCAAACCGAACACGTGACTGACACCAAACTTCTAGACGTCGTCGCGGTGTTACCGAGGCTCGGGAAAAATCGCAGACGTTCGCCACTTCTAGACGCGAAATCTCACATCTTCCTCTTTCCCCTCACCTTAGGATCTCCCCACCTCAGGCTGAATATTGGATTGGAATTTGTTTGCCACTAACATCAGCAGAAGGCCAACAGGGGACAGTAGCATTTGAATAATCATCCTCCAGACATCGACATAGCTCAATTGTGGGACACATTGTCGTGTCCGGTTGCTTCTTCGCCCTTTCTTTTCTTGAATTAAGCGCAGATTCTTTCGAAGCGTAGAGTTTTATACGCACATTGAAGAGCCCACTGAGGTATCACCCTCTCTCAGTTTCCTGCCTTTGTTAGGTAGTGAATCTGTCGCTCGAACTGTAGGATCTCTTTTGAAGAAGTCGGTATTGGACTGATCCGGAGCCATGGATTCGTCAGCTGCGGAATCGTCGCACGAGCCTTCTGCGACCGATGCCCCACCAACAGATGCAACAACTTTGGTACAGGCAACACCTGTACCGGATTCGGCTTCATCAGATACGCCTGCACCAGATACGCCTGCACCAGATACGCCTGCACCAGAGCATGCGGAGCCTGTAACGGTACAGTCTGACCAATCGCTGGCTGCAGCAGACGGTACACCAGTGACGTCAGACGCGCCCGTATCCTCGTCAGCAGGAGACGCAAGCGGTCCCATTTCTGCTAGCTCCGACGTTCAGCCGGCTCCTTCTGACATGGCTCCGTCAGTTGAGTCCCACGGTGATCCTGCCACGTCGTCTGGCCCTGCTGCAGCCGCCACGTCAACTGAGTCTGCGCGTGATCCTGCCACGTCATCCGGGCCTACTGCAACGAGTAGCCGCAGCGAAGGCGGATCGGAAGGGAGGGGAAGCAAGGCAAGCGGGGAAAGTGGCGGAGCGGAGAGAGGGGGGAGGGGGAGAGGTAGGGAACCTACCAGGACGGGCAGCAGCAGCAGCAGCGGCAGGTCCGCGAAGCCAGCCACTGACGCGGCAAGGCGGTACACCAGTGAGGCATCTGCTCCGCCACCCTCGCTACTGGAGCAGGCGCAGGCGTTACCCGGTTACTCGCTCTTCTCCAAGGGCCTCCAGTCGCTTCGCTCGTCGCTCGCCAGCCCTTCGCCTGACTCTTCTCCAAGCCCTGCGACAGGGAGCGCAGGTGGAGTTGGGGGAGCGGCAGCAGGACGAGGACGAGGAGCGGCGGGAGGGGGAGGGAGCGGAGAAAGGAGCAAAGGCGGCGTAGGTGGGAGAGGAAGCACGCCTGGTGCTACAACTGGTCCAGGAGGAGCAGCTGAAGCCGCAGCAGGAGGAAAAGGAGCAGCAGCAGGAGGAAGAGCTGGGGCAGCAGCAGCAGGGGGAGGAGGGGGAGGGGTTCCAGTGGTCCGCAGCGCATCAGGGGGAGCAGCAGGGCTGGGCGGGCTGGTGGGGGGAGCGGCAGTGGACAGCGCAGCAGTGCGCGAGTCCGCCAAGGAGGTGCTCAAGAGCGCGGAGAAGCTGCAGGAGAACGCGCGCGCTGCCCTGGGGTCGTTCTTCACGTCGCTCTCTGAGAAGGGCACGGGCACGCCTGGGGGGAGTGGCACTGGCAGTGCGAGCGGTGGGAGTGGGAGTGGCAGGCAGGCGGCAGCAGAGGCAGCGGCGGCGGCAGCAGGGGCAGCAGCTGCTGGGATGCAGCAGCTGTGGCAGTCGTTCTCGGTCTCGTCTGCTCCTGCTCCGGCTGTTGCTGTTCCTGGTGCGGGGAGGGGCAAGGGGAGAGGGAGGGCTGGTGATGGAGGAGGGAGAGGTGAGAGGCAGGGAGGGGCAAGTGGGGTTGGTGCGGGTGCAGAGGGAACCGGAAAGGGGGATGCTGGGGCGGGAGGAGGGAAGGGAGAAGGCAAGGCAGACGGGCAGGCAGAAGGGAAGGGAGAAGGGAAGGTGGCGGCAACAGTGATGGCCGGGGGCAGTGACGCAGGAGAGGGTGCAAAGGGAGGAGGAGCAAAGGAGGGGGAAGGAGAGAACGGGGCAGGGACAGAAACAGGGAAGGAAGGGCAAACGGCAGGAGATGCAGAATCGAAGGAAGTGGAGGGGGAGAAGGAGAAGGAGGGGGAGGAGAAGGAGGAAGGGGCGTTTGGGAAGGAAGGGGTGACTGAGAAGGCGGAGAAGGCGGGGGAGGAAGGGGAGGAGGGCGGGGAGGGGGATGTTGACGGGGGGGATGACTTGGTGGCGGAGATTTTGGAGTGGGCGGCGACTGCAGGGGAGGACGCGGATGAAGACACAGAGGCGGCGTTTGCTGCTGTCATGGATGCCCTGGGTAGTGAGGGCGAGGAGGAGGAGGACGGAGAGGAGGGCAAGGGTGGTAGTGGCAGTGGTGGTGATGCTGGTGCTGGTGGTGATGCTGGTGATGATGCTGGCGGTGAGGTAGGAACAGAGGCAGGGACTGAGGAAGGAGGAGGAGGAGGCGGCGTTAGGCTGAGCTCTGCTGACAAGGGGAAAGCGATCGCCACAGAAGAGGATGAATCGGCAGAGGCAAAAACACAGGCAGACAAAGAGGCGGAGAAACATGCAGAGGCAAAGAAGCAAGCAGAAGCAGAGGCTCAAGCGCAGAAGCAGGCTCAGTTAAAGGCTGAGAAGCTGGCTAAGGCACAGGCGACAGCACGTGCACAGGCGCAGGCACAGGAGCAAGCAGCAGCCGCAGGAGCAGCAGCAGCAGCGGCAGCAGCAGCAGCAGCCGCGACTGCAAGCCAAGCCCTGGGGTCTTTCACTAAGGGTTTCATGGAGGGTACAAGGGGGTGGGTGGAGGAGAGTAGGAAGGGTTTATTAGATGGGACTAAGGGCTTAGTTGAAGGGACTAAGGAGCTTGTAGGTGAAGGTACCAAGGGGTTTGTGATTGGGACGCGAGGGCTTATGGAGGCGACTAAAGAGTTGGTGGAGGAAGGGAGGAAGGAGATAGTGGAAGGGACGATGGAATGGGTGGAAGAGGGAAAGAAAGGGATCGAAAGTGGTACAAAGGTGTTGCAAGACGGTTCAAAGGTTATTCAGGATAGGACGAAGGGGCTTGTGGAGCGGTCGCAGAGTGCGGCGAAGGCGATTCAGACGCAGGCGAAGCACCTGGCGTCGCACAACAAGAGGCGGTTTCAGCAGGGCGGGTTTGACCTGGATATGACGTACATCACTGCTGGGGTTATCGCCATGGGGTTTCCCGCTGGGGGCGATGCGAATGCCGGCATCATGAGTATGGTGGAGGTGCGTTTGGATGTGACTGAGCATGGATGGATGGATGGATGGATGGATGGATGGATGGATGGATGGATGGATGGATGGATGGATGGATGGATGGATGGATGGATGGATGGATGGATGGGCGGCGGTGCATGAAGGTTTGTTACATGCACGTTCCTCAGGGGTCACGGACATGCCTCACCTTCTCTCAACTCATATCAACGTTTCTCCTCAGTACCCAATCTCCCCTTCTCTCCCCTCACTTCCTTCTCTCCGCTCTCCCCCATTTCCGTTGTGCATGCGACCAGGGTCTGTACCGCAACCATGTGACAGACGTGCTTCACTTCCTCGAGACATACCAATGCCAATTTCCCTTCTCTCCCCGCTCTTCCCTCTGCTCTCCCCCAACTCTTCTCCCTACCTGCCTGCCTACCAACCAGGGTCTGTACCGCAACCATGTGACAGACGTGCTTCACTTCCTCGAGACATACCACAAGGTTTGCCCTCACTCTCACCCTCATTCTTGTGCCGTCCACTCTAGTACCCTACCCACGTTAACACCCATTCTGCTACACACTCTACCACCACCCACTCTTATTTCCATGTTTCTCGTGTTTCTCTTCTTGCTGTTCCCCAGATTCAAGTTCCAACGCTCTAATTCCTCAACCCCCTACATATCACCAGCCTGTGCCCAGAGCCCCTCTAACTGTACGACCCCTCAATCTTCCACAGCCGCGTGGGGGTTGCAGCCTGCAGATGCTGCTGATTCAAAAGGCTCTCTGATCTGTCTGTGCTCTGCCCCCGTTTTGAGGCGCCTCAAAACTGGTTGCAGCCTGCAGATGCTGCTGACTCAAAAGGCTCTCTGACCTGTCTGTGCTCTGCCCCCGTTCGCGTAACCCATTGTTTCCTTTGCTTTTAACCCCCTCCCTTCCCGTGTTCCCTCATCCCAGGGTCGCTATATGATCATCAACCTGTGCTCGGAGCCGTTGTATCAATACGATCCATCGGTCTTCCACGGCCGTGTGGGGGCTGCAGCTAACTCAGTTCTTCGTGCTTTATTCCCTCAATCCCCTAACCGCCCTTTCACAACAGGTTCGCTACATGATCATCAACCTGTGCTCGGAGCCTTTGTATCAATACGACCCCTCAGTCTTCCACGGGCGTGTGGGGGCGTTCCCCATTCCCGAGGGGCAGGTGCCGCCCCTGCCCATCATCCTAAACTTTTGCCTGACTGCCCGGGCGTGGCTGAGTGCTTCTGAAGACAGGAGAAAGCCGATTGTGGGGGGACGGGCGAACGGGGTGGGGAAGGTTGGGCAGGAGGGAGAGGGGAAGACAGGTGAGGGGAAGGAGAAGGAAGAGGGTGAGGGGGAGGGTAGGGAGGAGGAGGGGCAGGGGATGAAGCAAGGGGGAGAGGAGGAAGGAAAGGACAGAGAGGAGGAGCATAGAGGGGGTGGGAAAGAGCTTGAGAACGGGTCAGGAGGGGAAGAGGGGGAGGGGAAGCTGGAGGTTGCGAGAAAGCAGGAAGGAGAGGAAAAGGGAAAAGGGAAGGAGTTGGTGGGAGGTGCTACAGGAGAGGATGTTGCTGAGGCTGAGGCAGGGAGCGGCAGTGGCAGTGGTGGCACTGCTGCCACAGCAGGGGGAAGTTCAGAAGCAGCAGTAGCATCAGCATCAGCATCAGCATCAGCATCAGAAGCATCATCATCCACAGGAGGCATAGCCCACGAGAGCAGCAGCAGTGTGCTTCATGAGAACAGCCCCATAGAGTGGAGTGATCGCATGTTGGTGATTCACTCCAAGGAGGGACTGGGCCGCACAGGCCTCATGACCTCATCTCTGCTGCTCTTCCTCAACGTATGTCTCCGCTTTGACTAAAGTCTTTGCCCACTGTTAGCTTGCTGCGGTTCGAATCCTTCTTTTTCCGCTCGGGCCTCATGGCTTCCTTGCTGCTGCTCTTCCTTAATGTATTCTCCTCCTCTGTTGAACCTTCTCCCCTGCCTCTTGCCAGCACCAATCTCGCAGAGCTACAGTACTACACAACAGCAGACGAGGCAATCGCGTTTCTCATTCCCTCACTCCCATTCAATTTTCCGCCAAACCCCCTTCGTCGCCCCACCACAGTACTATGCAACAGCAGACGAGGCGATAAACTATTTCAACGCCAAGCGATGCACCGATGGGAAGGCTCTTGTGCTGCCCAGCCAAAAGGTTTGTTCTGCTGCCCTCATTGCCTTGCCTCCAGATTTTGTACCAAAGTGACTCATGATTTCGCTCCCACATTTTTTTTTTTTTTTTTTTTTTGTTAATTTGCCCCCCATTCTCCTCATAAGCTACCTCTCCTCGCACTCACTCATCACTCCTCTCACCTGTCTGTACGTTGTATTTACTCCCTTTCCTCACACACCCCTCCGTCGAACCACTCCTTTACACCAGCGTTATGTGAAGTATCTTGAAGAGATTCTCAGGGTCAGACCCCTCCTTTGTACCGCCTTGCACCCCTGGTCACCTGTGTGTATCCCGCACCACTCCTTCACACCAGCGTTATGTGAAGTACTTTGAAGAGGTTCTAAGGGTCAGGCACGGAATCATCCCTCCACCCCGCAAGTAAGTACACGGTCAGGATTAACCCATCTGCTCACAGAAATCACCCATCCCCGCATTTTGCAAGTTACCAATAGCAAAAAGCAGAAAGTCTTCCTTCACAAAGAATGAATCGGCTCATATTGATCAATTCAAAAATCATCCAAGCCATGCCAGATTCATTCAAATTTTGGTTTCGCAATGAGCCAGCCCAGTGGGTTTTCTTTTGCACCCGAATTCAATCCGACCGTGTCCAATCCCGTTGCGCCAGGTGTCACATCCGTGGCCTTCGCATTCATCGCTGCCCCTACTGGGTGCGACCTGCCATTGTCGTCTCCGACCAATCAGGTGCGTCCACGTGTCATGCGATTCTGCAGGAGTGATTACTTCCGAATGATTTCCTTTCCAATTCTATACATGCTTCAAATGCCGGAATCTGTTATTGCTGAATGTGGTGAGTCGTCCCAAACCTGTCTGTCCCTTGAACATGCATTGTTGTGGCAATGCCTGCTGTTTCCTTGAGTTCACTCTAAGCTTGTCTCTCCTCCTGACATACATGGTCGTGGTGGCAATGCCTGGCAGGTGGTCTATTCAACTCCCGCAAGCATCCAAAGACTAAGGACTTCATGGTGAGAGAGCCCCCTGATCTTCCCTCTTTTTTCCTTCTCTCTTTTGTGCTTACAACCCCTTTCTTGTCGGAAGCATTTGCTTTTGAGTCGACTCAAAAGCTTTTTTCCTTCTCCCTTTTGCGCTTACAACCCCATTCTTGTCGGAAGCAAAAAGGAGCGAAAACGTTGTTGTAGAAAGTGTGTTTTTTGAGAATTCTAAAAAAACACACGCTCAAAAACGTTGTTGTAGCAAGGCCACACCAAGGGTTGTTAGATCAGCACAAGCTATTTCGAAGCTATGCTTGTTTGTTTCACTTCTGAGAAATCATAACCCTTCTGTGTCAATGCCTAGGGACCCTCACAATTACCCCTTGCTGCCTTCCTATTTCCCCCGTCCTCCCCCCCTCCCTCCTTCATCCAATAGCCGGAGGACATGTGGCACCAGTCGACACAGAGGGAGGGCGTGGTGGTATTTGCCCTGCCTGGCGAGCGCGGCCTGGCCCCCGTGGAGGGCGACTTCTGCCTCAAGTTCATCGACCGCAACGGGGACTTTTACTGGTGAGAAGACCCTTTTGCACGTATCTGAGGAAGGGAATCAGTGAAAAACAAACGAGGGGCTTCTGCCCTGCCTGGCGAGCGGGGCCTGGCCCCCGTGGAGGGCGACTTCTGCCTCAAGTTCATCGACCGCAACGGGGACTTTTACTGGTGAGAAGACCCTTTTGCACGTATCTGAGGAAGGGAATCAGTGAAAAACAAACGAGGGGTTTCTGCCCTGCCTGGCGAGCGGGGCCTGGCCCCCGTGGAGGGCGACTTCTGCCTCAAGTTCATCGACCGCAACGGGGACTTTTACTGGTGAGAAGACCCTTTTGCACGTATCTGAGGAAGGGAATCAGTGAAAAACAAACGAGGGGTTTCTGCCCTGCCTGGCGAGCACGGCCTGGCCCCCGTGGAGGGCGACTTCTGCCTCAAGTTCATCGACCGCAACGGGGACTTTTACTGGTGAGAAGACCCTTTTGCACGTATCTGAGGAAGGGAATCAGTGAAAAACAAACGAGGGGTTTCTGCCCTGCCTGGCGAGCGCGGCCTGGCCCCCGTGGAGGGCGACTTCTGCCTCGAGTTCATCGACCGCAACGGGGAATTTTACTGGTGAGAAGACGCTTTTGCACGTATCTGAGGAAGGGAATCAGTGAAAAACAAACGAGGGGTTTCTGCCCTGCCTGGCGAGCGGGGCCTGGCCCCCGTGGAGGGCGACTTCTGCCTCAAGTTCATCGACCGCAACGGGGACTTTTACTGGTGAGATGACCCTTTTGCACGTATCTGAGGAAGGGAATCAGTGAAAAACAAACGAGGGGTTTCTGCCCTGCCTGGCGAGCACGGCCTGGCCCCCGTGGAGGGCGACTTCTGCCTCAAGTTCATCGACCGCAACGGGGACTTTTACTGGTGAGAAGACCCTTTTGCACGTATCTGAGGAAGGGAATCAGTGAAAAACAAACGAGGGGTTTCTGCCCTGCCTGGCGAGCACGGCCTGGCCCCCGTGGAGGGCGACTTCTGCCTCAAGTTCATCGACCGCAACGGGGATTTCTACTGGTGAGGAGGAATCTTTTGCTCTCCTCTCCTCTGAGTGACAAGCTGGTGGTATTCGCCCTGCCAGGCGACCGCAGCTTGGCTCCTGTGTAGGGCGACTTCTGCCTCAAATTCATCGACCGCAACGGAGATTTCTACTGGTGAGAAGGTGTTTTTTTCGTTCTTTCTCTTGCATGCTCCTGAGTATTGAAGTGGTGGTGGTGGTGGCCCTACCTGTGGAGGGCGATTGCTGCCTTTACCGCCCCCCTCCCCTCCCTCCCTCCGTCCTTTCCTCAGTCCCTCCTTCCCTCCCTTGCTCCCTCTCACCTGTGTCCCTCTTTCCTTAACTCCCCCTTGTGTCTCCCCTCCCCTCTCGCCCCATTCCCGTATTCCCCAGCTGGCTCAACACAGGCATGATTCCCAACCGCCTTGTCATTCCGTGCCATGTGTCCATCCTCTTTCCCTTTCCCCCTCCTCTCTCCCTTTCTCCCTCTTTTTTGGTTGCTCCTCCCCTCTCGCCCCTCTTCCGTATTCCCCAGCTGGCTCAACACAGGCATGATGCCCAACCGCCTTGTCATTCCGTGTGAAGAATTCGACAACTTTGACAAGGTGAGTGAGTGGCGCAGCAGCACAGAGGATGACAAGTTGGCAAGTGATTTTTGAGAATTCTCAAAAATCACTCACAAGTTGGCAAGGTTAATGAGGTGTACAATGGGGGAGCGATGGGGGAGCAATGGGGGAGCAATGGGGGAGCAATGGGGGATCAATGGGGGAGCAATGGGGGAGCAATGGGGGAGCAATGGGGGAGCAATGGGGGAGCAATGGGGGAGCAATGGGGGAGCAATGGGGGAGCAATGGGGGAGCAATGGGGGAGCAATGGGGGAGCAATGGGGGAGCAATGGGGGAGCAATGGGGGAGTCTTTACGCTGCACTGTGCAAGTTGGCAAGTTGGCAAGGTTAACCCTGCACAGTGCAAGCTGACAAGTTGGCAAGTTGGCAAGGTTAACCTTGCACAGTGCAAGCTGGCAAGTTGGCAAGCTGGCAAGCTGGCAAGGTTAACCTTGCACAGTGCAGCGTAAAGACTCCCCCATTGCTTCCTGTCTGTCGCCCACCCTTGCACTGCTTCCCTCAGCGCCATCTCCCATCACAGCCAACCATAACAGCTCCCCGTTACCATAACACCTCCCCGTTACCATAACACCTCCCTGTTACCATAACACCTCCCCGTTACCATAACACCTCCCTGTTACCATAACACCTCCCCGTCACCTTAACACCTCCCCGTCACCATAACACCTCCCCGTCACCATAACACCTCCCTGTTATCATAACACCTCCTCGTTACCATAACGCCTTCCTTGTCACACCTGTCTCGGCTTGCCGCCCCTCTCCTTATCCCCTTCACCCCCACTGCTTGCTGCCCCTCTCCTTATCCCCTTCACCCCCACTGCTTGCTGCTCCCCCCAGCGCCATACCATATCCCCTCCCCAGGTGGATGGAGGTAATTCTTCTGCACCACACGCTTCCCCGCTATCATCCACTCACGCATCTTCCCCCTCTTCCCCCCACATTGCCCTTATGCTCGCCTGCAGCATCTTTCCCCTCTTTTCTCCATCCCCCCTCCTCCCCACCTCCCCATTCCTGTCACTCCCTCACTCCTCACCAACGCCGTCTCCCTTCGCCCGCGCTAAAAGTGGAGGTCATTCTGCTCGACCAGGACGACTTCGAGAATTCTCAAAATCTGAGTCGCTTTTGAGAATTCTCAAAATCTGAGTCGCTTTTGAGAATTCTCAAAATCTGAGTCGCTTTTGAGAATTCTCAAAATCTGTGTCGCTTTTGGGAATCTCAAAAACTGAGTCGCTTTTGAGAATTCTCAAAATCTGAGTCTCTTTTTGAGAATTCTCAGAAGGCTAAAAGTGGAGGTCATTCTGCTCGACCACGACGCTCCCCTGCCGCAACCCACTCTTTGCATCTTCCCCCGCTCTCTCCCCCACTTCCTTCCCCTCAATTTCATTGAGGTGATTTTTTACGCGCCTCAAAAATCACCTCAATGCACGTGGCTTTCTTCCCCTCACTTTCTTCCCCTCACTTTCTTCCCCTCACTTTCTTCCCCTCACTTTCTTCCCCTCACTTTCTTCCCCTCACTTTCTTCCCCTCACTTTCTTCCCCTCACTTAATTCCCCTCACTTAATTCCCCTCACTTAATTCCCCTCACTTAATTCCCCTCACTTAATTCCCCTCACTTAATTCCCCTCACTCTCTTCCCCCGCTCTCTTCCACAATTTCTCCCCCACTTTCTTCCCACTTTCATCAGCGCCGTCTCCCCTCGCCCGGGCTGCAAGTGGAGGTGATTCTGCTCGACCACGATGCTCCGCTGCCGCAACCCAAGAAGAAAGCCCCCTCTGTGCCTGCTACTGCTGCCACCTCGGCAGCTGCTAGCTCATATGCAGCAGGGAAGGGAGGAGCGACAGATGCCAAGGGGAAAGGCCTGGCTACAGCTGCAAGTGCTGCGCCTGCTGCGACCAAGGGTGAGTGCGATGAGGCGAGTGCTGGACTGTGCCTGCCCGCTACTGCTGCTGCCACCTCGGCGGCTGCTAGTTCATCTGCAGCTAGGACGCGGGGAGCGACAGCCACACTTGTCTTATAGGTATTGCTGACTTGTCTCAAGAACACTCTCTTATATCCTTTTTCCTTCCATTCTCCTCTCCCTTCCCTTCCACCCCCAGCCTCCTCAGGCTTTTCACTCGCAGCTTCCTTCCAGAGCTTCATGATAGGAGTGACAGCCAAGCTGTCGCTAGAGGTGCATGTTAAGCTCCCTCCTCCCTTCTCCTTAGTTCCCCCTTTCCTTCCCTCCCTTCCACCCCCAGCCTCCTCAGGCTTCTGCCTTGCAGCCTCCTTCCAGAGCTTCATGATGGGAGCGACAGCCAAGCTGATGCTTGAGGCGCACGTAAATATCTCTTCTCCTTTCTCCTCCCTTCCCCCCTGCCCCCCTCCCACGCCCAGCCTCCTCAGGCTTCTCACTCGCAGCTTCCTTCCAGAGCTTCATGATGGGAGCAACAGCCAAGCCCCAGGCCACGTCCCAGCAGCAGCAGCAGCAGCAGAAGGGGAAGCAGCAAGCAGCAGCATCTTCCTCAGCCGCAGCAGGCTCTCGAACCGCCTCGTCTGGCGGCACTGCTGCTGCTGGTGTTGGTGGTGTTGGTGGTGCTAGTGCTGCTGCAGGGGGGCCAAAACACTCGCTTGAGGGTGGTAGTGGCACCGTAAAATCAAGGGGGGTGGGCGGAAGGAGGGCAGAGGAGGAGGACGATATGCATCCAGACATCTTCAGTGATAGCGATGACGATGATGATGAGAGGGGGGAGGAGGAGAAGGAAGAGGTGGGGAGGGGGCGTGGAGCAGGGAGGGTGGGTAAGGAGAGAAGGGAGACTCCTCCTCTGATCGGACTCGAGGAGGCTCCTGGTGTTCCCTCACCTGCAGCAGGGGTGACAGCGGGAGGTGCAGCACCAGCAGCAGCATTGGGAAGAATTGGTTCCCCAGTGGGTTCCGGCCTGAGCTTGACCTCACTGGGAGCAGCAACTGCAGCAGCTGCTGCTGCTGCTTCCAGCCCTGTTACAGCAGGAGCATCAGGAGCAGGAGCAGCTGGAGGAATGATTGGGAGAGCCCCGTCGCCGCTCCGCGGCCCATCCAACCCGGTAACCGCTGGTAACCAGGCGGTGGTAACCAGCGCAAGCCCGAGCTTCAGTCCCAGTCCCAGCCCGTCTCTGTCTGCTGTGGCTGCTGACCCGTCTGCCCTCTTCATGGGAAGCCCTCTGCGTAATGCCTCTGGCCCTGGGACACAGGCAGGGGCAGGGGGGTTGGCAGCAGGGACAGGGGCAGTGATTACAGGAAGCACTGCTGCTGCTGCTGCCGGTTCTGCCAGTCCTGCTGTGAAAGCTGTTGCTGCTGCAGCAGCGGCCAAGCCAGCAGTGGCAGCGGGGGTGGGGGTGGGGGAGAGCAAGGAAAAGGACCTTCAGTTCTTTGGGCCATCGAGCGACTTTGCCATTGCTGCTGCCAGTGCTGCTGATGCTTCGGTGTTCTCCTTTGGTGATGACGAGGATGACCTAGAGGATTTCTAGGAGCACCAGCAGATTTTTTATCATTGATGCTGCTGAATATAGTAGTGGTACTGGTAATACAAACTTCTGTCGTTACTGCAGGTCGAGAGATAGTGAAGTTGATGCAACAGGCCATCATTCCATGAAGAAACTGCTGAAATAAAACCCAGCACCAACAAATTAGACGTATAGGAAACATGCTTCTGAGGCAACTGTCGAAATAAAACCCAGCAGCACGAGCACTGGCTTGTAAAGGTGAGAAAAAGATGTACACGAAACAAGCTTCTAAAGAAAGAATATATGGCTTGTAATGGCACTAGCAGGGATTAGGTACAGTAAGAAGGTGGAACAGAAGAGTAGTCTCGCCACAACTTCCCCGCTACTCAATTATCAACATGCGCTCAAGCTCCCTCATTTGAAGAACCCCTTGCGGCGGCCAAAAAACCCCTTGCGCTTATACTTGTGCTTGTAATGATGCCCGTGGTAACCGTGCCCATGGTGGTGTACCACCACAGGGGGAGCCCCATACCCATACGGGCCAGTAGGAGGGGGAGGATACCCATACGGCGCAGGGGGGTAATGGCTATGGCTATGCGCATGCGCACCCGCATATGCTGCTGCTGATCCTACCAATGCTCCCACTGCTCCCAGCACAGTGTTAACTGAAGAGGAGACGCTTGGAGGCTTGGAGTAGGCAGGAGGGGCGGTGTGAGCGGCAGGGTAAGGGGCGGGGGCGCTCTGGGGGTAAGGGGCAGGGTAGGAGGAGGCGGGGGGGTAAGGGGAGGCGGCTGGGGGAGGGGCGGAGGAGGATGGGGGAGGGTAGGCGGATGGGGGAGGGGTGGGGTAGCCTGGGGCGGGAGGGTAGGGGTTTGGTGGGCCGGATGGGGGCGGGTAGGGTGACCCTGTTGGGTATGCTGGGGCTGGGGGGTATGGTGCGGTGGGGTACGGTGCAGGTGGGTATCCTCCGGGTGCCCTAGCCTGGGGTGAGGAGTTGGGGGGGGGGGTGGGGGGAGGATGGGGGGGTAAGGGGGAGAGGAAGTGTTGAGATGGATGGGAGAGGGAAGGGGAAGTGATTTGATAAGCAGGAAAGCAAGACTTGAGGTGGGTATGATTAGAGAATAGTGCAGGGGGGAAGGAGCATTGGGGAAGGAGCATTGGGAGAAGATGGACGGAGGGGAATGTGAATGTGGAGAAGGTGCATGGGGGGGTGGGGAGAGGAGGGAGATGGGAAGGGGAGGGGGGAAAGGGCGTCTGCACTTACTCCAGGAGCCTTGATGATCAAATGAAGGCTGCCGCGTTGCCTGCAATAACAGATCAAACCGGGGAAGGAAAAACATCAGAAGGTTATTCGGCAGAGACACTAGCAGCGTGAAGTCACAGCACAGCACAGACACTGGCAGTGAGTAGTCAGCCTAGAAACACGTATGAGTGGTATAGTGTATGTGACATGTGTAGTTTAGAACACTGAGCATGTATGACAACACTTCAGGCCTACAGAGAGCGCTTGACAACAATAATTACGGAATATTTACAGTATAACATCTACAGTAGTTTACTCACTTCTGGCTCTTGGTGTAAACGAGGTGCCACATGTCCCACACGCCCGCGGAGAACGCGAGACCAAAAAACTACAGTGAATTCATATTAACATCTGCTACAGTAGTTACTCACTTCTGGCTCTTGGTGTAGACGGGGTGCCACATGTCCCAAATGCCCATGGAGAACGCCTGACGGAAGTTCACGCGGCAGCTACCAATCACGTCGTCGCGCCCCAGGTTGTCATTCCACAGCACCGCAGAGAACTCCTCCACACCTGGGAGCAGCTGCAGGTGGAACGTGGAGTTGAATGCAGGCGTGGTGCCGCCATCTGTGGGAATGAATGGGTGGGGGAGGAGGGGAAGGAGAAGGCGGGAGCAACTGCGGGTGGAATGGAATGTGGAGTTGAAAGCAGGAGTGGTGCCACCATCTGATCAGAGTGTTTTTGAGAAATTCTCAAAAACACCCTGCAGGAGTGGTGCCGCCATCTGATCAGATCGAAAGTGAAGGGGAAGCGGGACGGTGGGTGGCGAGGTTGGCGGACGTGGGGTGGGATAAGGGCGAGCGGGAAGGTGAGCAGGGAGTAGGGGCAGGGCATGGAGAGGAGGAGGATCAGGATGATAAGGGAAAGGATAAAGGCTATCTGTGATTTTTGAGGCGCCTCAAAAGAAATCTGTGATAGTAACAATAACGTCTTTTTCCAAGAAGCACTACCCTCGCTTTCACAAAGCACAAGTCACTATGTTTCAGATGATTTCGTTACACGCACATCCCAGTGCTTTCGTTACATGCACCCGAATCTTTCGAACACACCTCAATCTCTCACGCACACCCGATCGCACATACCCACGACGAGACATTCCCAACACTACGCGCCCGCGTCCGCACCGCGCCTGCGCCCACACACGCACGCACGTCCTTACACGTATCGCCCATACCACAATCTTTCGCGCATGCCTTTATCTGTCTTGGTGCGGAACCGTTGCGAACCGTACTCCACCACGACGTATGGGTCCTGCTTCGTGAAGAGCTCCTTGTCCTTGAGCCCCGACGCTCCCACCACTGGCGGGTAAAGCAGCGCACACACCAAGTTTCGCGGATAGGGGATAGGCGCGGATTGAGGATGGCGGAAATACGGGTGGCGGAGATAGGGGGAAAAGACAGTTGAGACAAGATGAGACGAGACGCGACAAGATGAAAGGAAGGAAGCGATGCCAGGGGTGCAACTGCGGGAATAAAAGGACAAAAAGACTCAAAAGCTGAACAGGACTCAAATCTTAAAAGGGTGGCGTGTATGCAAATATTCAGCACACGAGCAGGAAACTACAGGTGTCATTTCGGAAGACTGTCCAGCAAACTCTTCAGGTGTCTTATTCAGGTGCTCCCTGAGTCCGTCTCAATCTCCGACCTAACGACCAGGAAAAAAGCCTGGATTCGAACACTCGCTCTCACCGGTGAGCTCCAACACGCCGCTCATGGCGGCTCGTGACGGACCAAGCTGCTCCCTTAATAGTGCGCTTCGAAGCGAAACGAGAGACCACGGTCGACTGTAGTATCCCCTGGCAAATCGTTTCACAACGCACTACGACGGGCTAGTTACAACGCCAACCACCCTCCGGCAGCAGCAGTACGCTAGTCACACCAAGGTTTGCAGCTCGCCAATAATAAGTGACTGGGTCACAGGCAGGAGATGAAACTGGAGTTCTGGACTGGATATGTTGGGGTGCGGGGACGCTGGGTTGGGTTGGAATTTGGGATGCCTAGAGACCTCCGCGATTTGGGGAAGATATCAGGGTTTCACCCCACCCATCCTCCCCCTGTTGCTTCAGTTCAGTCGGCAACTTTTTTGTTTGACGCGGCATTTTTCCAAGCTGACGTGACGTGTAGGCTTGGGTTAGGTTGGAAGTGGCGGGCTTTTTTCTGATTTGACGTGAACCTCCTTCCACACGTGTCTCCACATGTTCCCAGCATCTTCACTAGACGTTTCATCCACTGCCTGCGATTCCGTTACAGGCAAGCGCAACAACATATAAAAGAATCAAGTGCACGAAACAGGATGGTAAGACAAGACACCTAATAATACACAATGCTGGCTAGTGCAACCTTGCTTACATCACTAATGCTATTTTATGCGCACGCCTGCCCACAAGGATGAGTGGAGTGGAGAGCGGGCTGGAATTGAGTGACAATAAACATACCCTAGACCTTTAAAATGTAACTCAGGAATCCCATCGTAATTCCTCCTCCTGCCCCTCTTGCAATATCTGTCGCATCTTTCGTACCAGCTCGAGCTTCTCCTCTCGACTCCCCCTGACCAAGCATAAACATAAAAAAAAAAACAAGAGACCAGGACAAATGAGTGAGAGGAAAGAGAAGGAAAACAGAACCGTAAACCAAAACCATAGAACACAAGTTTCTAAAAATCAAAACGAGTCAGTTCATTTAATCAACCCTCAACCATGACTCATCACCATCTTACCCTTCGTTTGGCGGTAACACCCCACCACCGCTCGCGTTACTGCTGCCACAGCTGTGGCTGTTGGGTTGAGAGCCCTTGTGGTGTGACCCGCGATTGCTGCCGTCATCATCAGAGGCGGAGGGGGAGGAGCGAGAGGAGGAGGACAGGGGTGCTTGGCCCTGGGACTGGCCCTGAGATTGGGACTGGTTCTGGTGTTGGTGCTGGGAATGGGATTGGGACCGCTTCTGTTGTGCAGCGGAGGGTATCGAGCTGTAGTCTTTGTCTGCTCACATAATTGGGCGGAAAAATTGGGAAGCGCATTGGTCAGAGAGATAGGCCGAGGATTGAGCAGGGAGCTGGGCAGGGAATAGGAAATATCATGTGGGATGTGACATGTGGGATGTGGCATATGGGATGTGACATGTGGGATGTGGCATATGGGATGTGACATGTGGGATGTGGGATGTGGCAGGTGGCATGTGAGAGCAGCGTACCGAGATAGATGGCGTGGAGGGCATGGGCCACATCCGCCATGGAGGGGCGGGAGAGCGGGTCAAAGAGGATGCACGAGTGAGCCAGCTCTGCAAAGCGGATCAGCGACGCACTAATCGGCCTCTGCCTCCCAGCACTGCCACCCCCAGCGCCGCTACTGCTGGTGGTTGTTGTGGTGCTGTTGCTGCTGCTACTGCTGCCGCTGCTGCTGTTGCTTGTGGTGGTGCTGGCGCTGGTGGCGCTGATGCTGCTCGACCCGGTGCAGGTACCAGCTGCCTCTGCACTTGAAGCGTCACCGCTCCCACCCGCACCAGCAGCACCACTGGCAGCAATAGCGGCAGCGGCGGCGGCGGCAGCAGCGACGGCAGCAGGGCCTGTGGGAGTGGAGCCGGCTTGCGCTGCCAGGACGTCCGGGTCGATCAGCTCCTCCCACCGCTTCTGTTCACACAGTGGCGTCACCTGCATGCAGCATGGACGAATGAGAAAAGGAGACTAGTTAGTTGGTTTTTGAGAGTTATAAGATATCAAATTTGGCTGCAAGGGAGTCTGGCTCGATCAGCTCCTTCGACGGAATGGCGTGCAGCATGGAGTGAGTGCCGTACGAGACGGATTTCTTCAGTCGACCCAAAAATGTGGTGCAAGGACGTGCAGACCCTGAACAATGCTGGTGTTCCTGTATCTATCAGATGCTGCAAATTATATCTTCTGGTCTTTGAGAATTCTCAAAAACCTGCTGCAAATTATATCCTCTACAGTGAAAATGCGGCGATGTCATGCAGTGAGAATATGTGCAGTCACAGGTGCTGAAGAGACGAGACATACCCAGTGCACGAGCTGCATGCCATCGGGCAAGACAGGGACGCGCCCCGTGATGAGCTCAAAGAGCACCACTCCAAAGCTGGGGGAAAGGGAGAAAGTGATGGCAAGGGAATGACAGGGACAGGGACGCATTTCTTGATAAGCTCAAAGAGAACGACTCCGAACGACCACGCACCTATGCACTCCGAATGCGTCCAGGCTCCCTTCCTCCAACCAGCAACTTCCATTCATTATAACAACACCCTCGTTACAAGCACCCACCACCCACCTGTACACGTCAGTGGCAGAGCTGATTTCCCCAGTCATCAGAATCTCCGGAGCCATGTGCCCGTGAGTGCCCATGGCCACGTCAACGCTCTCTCCCAGCCGCTCCACCAGCTCCCCAGTCACTGGGTCCTCCACCTTGATTGTCTGCTTTATCAGCTTCGCACACCCGAAATCCGCCACCTAAGTGTGTGCGTAGAGGGAGACGGAGGAAGAAAGGGAACATATTTGTTGGCCCGTCACTGGGTCCTCCACCTTGATGGTCTGCTTTATCAGCTTCGCACACCCAAAGTCCGCCACCTGTCCACGCAGAAAGAATGGGCAATCATGTAGAGACACTGAGGCGAGTTGGCGGGGAATAAGAGAGAATCGTCCTCTCCTCACCCTTGTTTGCATGCTCTCCACCTTGATGGTGCGCCGGATCAGCTTCGCACATCCAAAATCCGCCACCTTAGGCGCTCAGGGGTTCAAACGGGTGCTCTGGTGGAGAACACTAGCAGAAGAATAAGACTCACTCGCACATCATCATACCCCTCTTCAATGTACACACTCCGTCAATCCACCCACCTTGGCAGCAAAATTATCCGTGAGAAGGATGTTGGACGACTTGATGTCGCGGTGGAGGATCTGGGGCCTCTGCGAGTGCAGGTACTGCAGCCCCCTCGCCGACCCCACTGCTATCCGCAGCCGCCGCTCCCATGACAGCGGCCCATTCTCTTCTCTCTTCTTACCTGCCATAGCAGGAACGGGGAGAGGGGGAGGGAGGGGCGGGGGAATGGGACAAGGGGTGAGTGCACCACGCATGTGCACTCGGCGTTTAGAATTCTCAAAAAGGACTCTTATCGAGCTGGGGCCTCTGCGAGTGCAGGTACTGCAGCCCCCTCGCTGACCCCACAGCTATCCGTAGCCGCCGCTCCCATGACAGCGGCCCATTCTCCTCCCTCTTCTTGCCTGGTATTGGGGGGAGAGGGGGGACGCGGGAAAGAGGTGAGAAGGCTGAAACATGTGAAGTGATGTTGAGCCGTTGCATGCGGTCGGTGAGGTGAGCTGTTGGCCAGGGACTGGTGCTATACCCTGTGACATGTGGCCTGGGATGGTGGGGAGAGAGGGAGAGGCGGATTGGAGGAAAGAGGTGAGAAGGCTGAAACATTTGCAGTGACGTTGAGCCGTTGCATTGCATGTGGTCGGTGAGGCGAGCTGTTGGGCAGAAAACGGTAAACCAGGACGCAGAACAGCAATGCAGCGAGAAACCTATCAAGCAACTCACTCACACAACACAGCCATCACTCTCACCAGCCAGTGCCACCAACACATTGTCATCATCACTGCAACCCACCGTGCATGTGGTCCGTGAGTGAGCCGTTGGGCAGGAACTGGTAGACCAGCAGGCGCTGCTGTGATCGCATGCAGAACCCAAACAGCTTCACCTGCTCGGGGGAAAGGGGTGGGTGGGTGGAGAGAGGAGAGGAGAGGGGTGGGCTGGTGTGGATAAGGGATAGAGACAGAGGGGTGAGAGGACGGATAGAGAGAGGAGATAGGAGGATTATGCATGTCGTGTCATTTCAGCTGCTGCTGAAACCCACTTAGTCACGAGCATTTTTTAATCACAGTCTCAGCAGCTGCTTCTGCTCTCAACAGCAGAGCCTAGAAGCAGTCTCAGCTCAGCTGGTGCTGGTGACAAGCAGCTGCTGGTGAGATGGTGACAGCTGTTCCCACCAGCTGTCGCCTGGAGCACAAACATCTGGTGAGCCGAGACACCAGTGTATGTTTTTTGAGAATTATAAAAAAACTCACCAGCTGTCGCCTGGGGAGCACAAACACCTGGTGTGCCGAGACCCCAGTCTCACCAGGTGTTTGTGCTCCAGGCGGCTGAGCAACTCCAGCTCAATGTGAACTCCCCATCGCGTTTTAAACTGACTCGTTGTGCATACATAACAGGTGTTACCAACCACCACCATCTCACCAAGTGTCCCATCTCACCAGGTGTTTGTGCTCCAGGCGGCTGAGCAGCTCCAGCTCAATCGTGAACTCCTCATCGCGTTTTGAGATGTATCAAAACTGACTCGTTGTGCATACATAACAGGTGTTACCACCATCTCACCGAGTGTGATCTCCCATCTCACCAGGTGTTTGTGCTCTAGTCGGCTGAGCAGCTCCAGCTCAATCGTGAACTCCTCATCGCCCTGCGACCCGCCCCTTGTCAGCACCTTCACCGCCACCACCTGGAAAGGAGGGGGGGCGCGGGGGGGGAGGGGGAAGAGTGGGTGGTTACACAGAGGGGCGAACTCCTCATCGCCCTGCGACCCGCCCCTCGTCAGCACCTTCACCGCCACCAACTGGAAACGGGGGGAAGGGGAGGAGGGGAGGAGGGGGGCCGGGGAGTGGGATGAGTGGGTAGTTTCACATAGGGGCGAATCTCGTCATCGCCCTGTGACCCACCCCTCGTCAGCACCTTCACCGCCACCACCTGGAAATGGGGGGAGAAGGTGGAGGGAAGGAGGGACAGTATGTGTAGTAGACCTTCCCAAAGCCGCCCTAGACCAGCACATCGGCCTTGTAAGCCCTCTCATGGAAAGCGTCAAGAAAAGCTTACAGCACCTAGAGCCCATATCCTTAAAGCCCCCACCTGCGCTGGCTGCACTGGCAGCACCCCATAGTAGACCTTCCCAAAGCCGCCCTGGCCCAGCACATTCGCTTCGTCGAAATTCCCCGTTGCCAGCTGTGATGGTGGCAGAAGGGTGAGGGGAGGGAGAGGGGAGAGAGAGAGTGAGAGGGAAGGCAGATAATTACTCCAAGCGCAATATCCCATCCCCCATGCACCATTGCCTATGCTCTCCACCCCAGGCATCATGCCCACGGCCCCATGCCCCTACGCCCTATGTGTGAGTGTGAAAGTGAGCATGAGTAAGTGTGAGTGTGAGCACGAGTGTGAGTGCAAGCATGCCTCAATGTGTGTGAGTGTGAGCATAAGAGTGACTGTGAACACGAGTGGGAGGGTGAGCATGCTTACCTGGAGCTCAGAGTATTGGAAGTGAGTGCGCTTGGGTGCGGGCAGGTCCCCAAAGGTTTTCTCTGGCCGTTCAGGCCCGTCCTTGTGCCTTGAGAGTGTGAGCGACCTGCAAGCATGACAAGGTTGCCAGAAAAGAGGGAAAGCAAACGGGGGGTGAACCGTAGAAGCAAGGACAGACACAGAAGGAACAGAAGGACTCTCTACACGTAGCAAGGACACACACAGAAGGAACAGAAGGACTCTCTACACGTAGCAAGGACAGACACAGAAGGAACAAGGGATGATTTTCCACACCACCTTGCCATGGCATGGCAGAAATGACTTGGCACGGCAGGCATGGCAACATGGTATGTACCCTTCCCCTTCCCCACCGTGGCATGGAGGGCATGGAGAGCGACGGCATGGAGCGTTCCTTCTCAGTCGCAGACCGGCCAGGTTTGGGCGGTCTCTTCCCCACTGTCGCACTGATGCCCGCCCCCGCTGCGCTGATCCCCGCCCCTGCTACACTCAGCCCTGCCGCGCCTGCATAGCTTATTCCTGCGCCTGCTGAGCTGGCTGTGGTGGGTGGTGACAGGCAGAGGGGAGGCGGGGGAGAAGAGGGGAGGAGGGGCGGAGACGAAAAGTAAGTTGCCCGCCCCTGCTGCCTTCAGCCCTGCCGCGCCCATATAGCTTATTCCCGCTCCTGCTGAACTGGCTGTGGTGGGTGGTGACAGGCAGAGGGGAGGCGGGGGAGAAGAGGGGAGGAGAGGGGCAGGGACGAAAGTAAGTTGCCCGCCCCTGCTACACTCAGCCCTGCCGCGCCCATATAGCTTATTCCCACTCCTGCTGAACTGGCTGTGGTTGGTCGGAGAAGTACGGGGGGAGGACGAGTGGGGGAGAGGACGGGTGGGGGAGAGGACGGGTGAGGGAGAGCGGACAGGGAATTGAGGAGAATGGGTGAGGGGAAAGAAATCATCAAGCGAAATGCAATAATCAATTCCCTTAGAAATCACCTCGAAGGACGTACCTGACTTCTTGAGCAGGGTGGTCAGCTTTGGCACCAGATCCTTGCCCTGCTTCTTGATGTTGCGCAGCGACAGATTCCTGTCAAGCGAGATTTGCTGCTCTGCCTTCTTCACCTGCAGACTCAGATTCCGGGCCAGCGCTATCCCTGACAGACCCCCACCTCCTCCCCCTCCTCCACCTCCACCACCTCCCCCTCCATTCCCGGCTGCACCTCCCTTACCAGCAGCCTCTGTACTCGCACCTGAAGCAGCCCCTGCTGCCGCCCCTGCACCAGCATCAGAACCAGCATCGACAGAAGGTGGTACACTCGAATCCCCTCCTGTTGCTCCTCCTGTTCCTCCTGCGCCCTCCTCGTTCTCCCTGCTGTCACCTGCACCCGCTGCTCCGCTAACCAGAGCAGCAGCTGCAACCAGATCGCCCTCCCCATTCCGCCCACTCCCCACACGTCCCTCTCCGCCCTCCTGCTTCCCCTCCTCCGCGTTCCCCACCCCACCTCCAGCGCCAACACCAACTCCTTCCTGAGATCGCCCTGTGTCGCTGCCTAGACCTGCCCTTGCTAATTCTTCTCCCCCTACGCGCCCGTCGGCCCTTCCTGCTGAATGCTCTCCCCCGCTCTGCTGCTCCGCGCCCGCCTGCGCGGACATCCGCCCTCCTGCACCGTTCTCAACCCCTTGGTTTCTCCCATACGCCCCAAGACCACCAGCAGCAGGCGAGAGAGCACTAGCTGAAGCGGTGGCGGCAGAAGCGCCAGCAGCACCAGCAGCAGCACCGGCAACAGCACCGGCAGCACCCGCTGCACCTCCAGCGTAGCCTCGTCCAGGGGATGCTTTGCCCGGACTGGCACAGCCGCGGGTGGGAGAGGCACGGCCCGAACCAGGTGAGAGGCGCGCAAGCGTAGGAGACACGTGCCCGTGACCAGGTGACACATGCCCCAGGCTACCGCTGCTGCTGGAGAGCCCATGCTGCCCATACTGCCCCTGCTGCCCCTGCTGTCCCTGCTGTCCGTACTGCCCGTACTGCCCTTGTTGCCCCTGCTGCCCATACGCCCCACCGCCCCCATAGCCAGCAGCAGGAGCCCCACCACCTGAGACGCCAGGGGCAGCGCTTCTGAGAGGCGAGGAGCAATCGTGGCGACCAGCAGCGGCAGAGTGGAGAGGAGAGCGGTCACCTGATGCAAAGGCTGTGACTGAGGCAGAGGCAAAGACGGCGCCACGTGCAGGGGAGAGAGAGGAGGAGCGGCGCCTCATTTCCTCTTGGTGCCGTGGGGAGTGAAACTCTGGCACAGAATTTCTCAGCTGACGATTGTACCCTGGCTCCTGCTGCTGCTGCTGCTGCTGCTGCTGCTGCTGCTGCTGGTGTTGCTGCTGTGGTTGCTGCTGCAGCGGCAGTTGTTGTTGCTGAAGGGGCTGGTCTTGGTAGGGTTGTAGATGCGGCTGTGGCTGCTGCTGGCGTAACTGCTGCTGCTGGTAGTACTGCTGTTGCTGAAGGTACTCATGAGGGTATTGCTGCTGGTAAAGCTGCTGCGGCTGATGCCCCTCCGTGTACTGCTGCTGCTGCTGCTGCACCATATGGTAACCCTGCTGCAGCTGCATCTGCTGCTGCATTTCCTGAACACCAACCCCCAGCTGACCGCTCTCCACCACCCATGCACCATCACCCACCTCCACCGCATCCAACTCCTCCAAATCATCCACAGCATACGCCTCCAGTACCCCATCCTCGTCCTCCTCCGCTTCCGGCCCGCCATACATCGCTTCCCCCTGCGCCTCCACCCTTCTCTCCCAACTGCTTCCCCCCATCACTCCCTGCCCAAACCCCTGTCCTGCACCCTGCCCGGCCGTTTGCCCTATCCCCTGCTCCCACCCTTGCCCTGCCGTCTGCGCTCCCCTCGCCCTCCCCTGCCCCCCTGCTGGTACTGCCGACCCTGTTGATGACGTAGAAGCGGATTTTCTCCACCCGCCAGATCCAGTCTTTTTCCCCGTGTTCCCCAACAGAACATCCATAGCAGCAGGCGGAACCGACGTCAAAAACTCCTCCCCGTCGTCCTCCTCCTCCTCCTCTTCCGCCGAATCCGACAAACCCACAGACGCGGACCGCTGCACTCTTCCCCCGCCCCCGCCTCCGCTGCTCACGCGCGGAACCCCGCGCCTGGCGGAACCCGAGCGGCTCCTGCTTCCGCTGCGCGGAACGCTGGATCTGCTGCGCCCCGCGCTCCCGTGGCTGGCGCCGCTCGCGTGGCTCGAGCTCGTGTTTCCGCCGCTCTCTCGGTCTCGCTCGCGTTCCCTCTCCCTCTCCCCTTCCCGATCCCTCTCCCGATCCCATACTTCCGCTGACCCGTCCCATACGTGGTCCGGCGTTCGTTCGGGATTCTGTAGGTGATTTTGCGAGTAGGATCCAGGAAAGGCTTGTGGGTAGGCTTGGGGGAACTCTTGCGGGTAAGGCTCCCTGCCGCTGCTACTGCTGCTGATGAGCTGCGAGGGAGCAGGCGACGAGGATTGATCTTCGTGTGGATGGTGAAGCAGATAATCTCTAAGCTCTTCCTCAGTAAAATCGCCTCCCAGCAGTTCCGCCGTGTCCGTGGTTTTCGGGACGGCCGATCGTGACCGTCGGATTTCACGCACGCTCCTGGTCGGCTGAGGTTCGGCAGCCGGCACGCGGCTCCGAGGCGCGGACGTTGATGTGGCTTGGCGCCGCAGATCTAGCGCCGCTTCGAGAACCTGCGGAGACGCGTAGCTGACTCTTAAATCGGGGCTGCTAGTAACGAGTACATCCGCTACACCTGCTCGCGGGTTAACGCGAACCCTAAACGGCGAGATGCTAGCGGACTGCGGAACTGCAGCCCGCGACGCGTGAGGTAAATACCTCCGCTCTCGGCGCTCCCTCAGGCTCTGCTGACGTGGAAAATCTGTTCCGTGAACGGGAGATTCTCCGAATCCCACGCTCCCTTGACCCATGTCGTACGCGGATCTCCTTTCCCTGAAGCTCCGCTGACGTGGCACGTCTAATGAATGTACCGGCGATTCTCCGAATCCGAGGCCGCTGTGTCTGGCCGGCGGTGCGACGGTCGTTGCGCTCTTCGCGAACATGTGATACGGCGGCTCCACGTCAGCACCATTGTTCGCGTCCTGGCGGTAATCCACATTCTGACGGTACTGCGAACCCTGACGGTAGTCCAGCTCTTGCCGGCCGGCAACTGTTCCAGCTCCGTGATCGTTATCGTTACCGTCAGACGGACTGTACCCACGGTATTGTTCGGACTCACGGGTGTTTTCGTATCCATGGCTGTCAACCGTAGCGCCGAAGGAGCTGGTACCGCAGGATAGGTTGTCGATCCGTCGCTCTAGCGCTCTCTCCTTTGCTCGCTCCCTCTCAATCTCTCGCGCCCGCCGTCTCGCCCGCTCCTGCTCCTTATCCCGCACGACCCCCCGCTCCCCGCGCTCCCCCCGATCCCCGCGCTCCTCCCCGCGCTCCCCCCATTCCTCCTGCACGTCGTCGTGCCGCCTGCCGTCGTACACGCCTTCGCGGAGCGACGAGGATCGTGGGTGGGAACGACGGCTGCTGCTTCCTCGCTCGCGCACACCCTCCATTCCCCGCGCGCGTTCGGGTGAGGACTACAAAGGGTTACGCTCTGCGACCCGTACCATTGTGTTGTCAGCGGTTACTGAGAATCTACCAATTGATTTTACGAGATGTTTACTGTGTTGCGACCGTATTGAGAGTCATTTCCTACAGAACTCTTCAAATGACTGTACGAGCTGTGTTATGACTCAGGCATTCCAGCTGGACTAATAGGTCAGGTGTTCCAGGAGCAGGAAAGTGGCTGCTGGTGAAATGCTGGCAAATGCAGCATTGGCAGCTCTAGCAGAAAGAAGGTTCTACAACTGAGTAATGACTACGTGCACGGTTCCACTTAGTAATGACTCGGTACTAATTTGCAAACCCTAAAATGCTCATTCCAGCGTACGAAGCCGTGTCGTCAATGGCGTGTCACCGAAAGACGTCGCAGGAAAACTACACAGAGACTCACAAATGGTGCGTTGAGTAGGTATAGTATTCCATTACCATAGCCAGGAGCATTGGTCGAAACACACACTACTTGCAGTAACGGTTCAACCCAGCAACAACCATGGCTGATGGGATGATGGTGTATTTTTCAGGAAGAATGGCAAGCAAGCAATAGTAGAAGATTCATCAGTTCCATCAGTTCCACCAACCTCGCCTAATCACCTCACCACCACCATCCTCGCCCAGCCACCTCGAACCATTGGGATTGCCGCGCTTTGGGCGAACCTCGATGTGTGGCTGGGGTGCTTCAATCGAGTCGAAACTCTCGATTTCGTTGGATGATGAAGAGATGGACGGCGGGATGATCCTCTAAAGAATTTGCCGGGATTTCTCATCCTTGAAACTTGGTATTTTTCGTTTGGGGCAGAGCCACCTTAGGTTTGGCAATTGTTCCAATTGGTTTCAAAATGGAAATTCCGAGCAGGAAGCCCCAACCGCATTGAAATTTGTTGCCCAGAAACCGACAAACCGTGAGAGAGGGGTCAAGTCAGTAATCTGTGCAAATTGCTAAGTGGCAACAAAAGGGAGATTCTTTCGTAGTTAGATGTTACACAAAGCTGAGACTTGCAAACAAGCTTCTAGGTTAACACAACTGTCATAATTAGGAATTTGAATATATCTGGTATTTGATAAGTGCAGACTACTCAGTCGATACTGCGACAACACTCTGAGTAATCAGTGAAAATAGGGAAAGGAGCTTGGGAGGCCATAGGTGGCAGTGGAGGTGCCTCCTAGTGCAGCTCCTGCGATGGAGTACCCGAGAGCCATGGCAGTCGGGACTGATACTGCGTTGCCCACTTGGCAGTACCTGCAAGTGCGAAAACGAGGACCGCATGGTGACCATGGATAATTTTGAATTCTCTGCCAAAGCTCCTTGGCCTGGCCAGACCAATGGAGCTTGTGATGAATCACCCCGCATAACAATATTTTGTTCACTGAAGCAACAATATAACTCTTACCGTTCCTTGGCATCGCCAAACAGCTTGTAATGGTCTGGGAAGCCCTGAAGCCGAGCATTCTCCCTCACAGTCAGCACTCGATCTTGCTCTGGGTGAAGAATTTTCTGCAAGAAAGAGAGACAGGAGGAAATCCGGTCAATGGTCCATGCAGTGGTTTGAAAGCGCACGCATTGCCTCAAAACTCGACCAGTTTCATCCCAGGCTCACTTTGCCATTTCATTAAAGAATGCGCATGCCCTCAATTAACATGTATTGGTATTTAAGTCTGTTCACGTTCTCTGTGTGCCGGACTACTGGAGTGTCATCCAAAGGCTCCTGCCTTTGGCTTACCTGGTTGTGAGGCTCGGGTCGTGTGACGACAGTTGGGACCGTGTCATTCCACCACAGACGAGCAAAGGGCCTGATGATACGGGAAATAAAGTTAAAGAAATTTTAATAAAAAACGCAGATCATGGTACACACTTTTTAATTATATTGTACAAATACCGACTTTGATGTCATGCCTCAGTTTCAGTTCCCTAACCCCGAAACCAACGTGGGATATTGACATGGTAGCGAGAGTGACAAAGGGGAGTGCGAGGAGTGTGAGGGCCAGAGGACCTACTTGAAGGAGGTGCCTTTCACGAATGAGATGGCATAGTCAGGGCACTGCATTGTGAACAGAAGGGAGGAGCAAAACGGAGGAGAGCAAGACGGAAAAAGGCATTGAGTGCAAGAGTGGCTTTTAAGTTGATTCAAACTCAAGAAGCACTCATTTTTCACCAGGAAGCTGCCAGGGAGCAGTTCTTGATGACAGGGACTTTCAGCACCCAGGTGAGGTGAGCAATGGGGTGCCTCTGAACCACAGAAGCGCAGCTGTTCTCACCAGAGGGCTGCCCGAGTGTGGGATGAAGGGGCGGGGCTGGAGAGTCTTGTCCAGCGAGCACTTCTTGGTGACAGGGTCCGTCAGCACTCCTGGCAGGTCACGGAAACATGCTCCCTGCATGGGGAGAGGCGCAGATGGGGATGGTAGGGGGGATATTGCTTGGATTGTAACAACAAACCACTCACGTGGAAAACACAAGGCGGGAGGGGAGGGGAGTGGGGGGCCAAAAGGAGGAGCGTTTTCTGGTGGCAGGGTCCGTCAGCACTCCTGGCAGGTCGCAGAAACATGCTCCCTGCATGGGGAGAGGTGCGGTTGAGATGGCAGACAGAGCGTGTGAATTTTAATTTCTTTTGAGGGCGTATTCCTGGCTTTAGGACATCCTGGCTTTGGGAGATCCCAAATAAATTTTACGAACCGCGATTTTTCTGACTCAAGCTTCGGGTCTTCCGCTTCGAGAGTTAGCGAGCTTCAGCGAACGTGGTGGGCGAAATTACTTTCTCCCCAGTATTTCTATCGCGTAGTTGGAGTGCGAAGTTTCTGAATCAGCGACCAAAAGTACACTCAAGTTTTGTGCAACATTGCACATTTCTGCGTCATCCAAAATCGGAATCGGTCGCCAGTCTGTTTTGGCGATCGCAACTTACAACGACGAAACTACGATTTAGGGTTGCCAACTAAATAATTGTACATAAAAATCGTGAGCCAAATTTTGGGATGACCCAACGTGCTGCATTGCAGCTCATGTCTTCCCAAAATTTGGGATGACTCAAACACCGGATGTCCCGAAGCCAGGAATCCGCCCTGAGCAGATATCTGAGTCGACTTCTCTGCTCAAGAGCTTTCTGATAAATCAAGAATTGCCTCAATCGGATCACGAACGAGAAAGTTACGAACGGTTGAAGTTCCTATGTTTTTGATATATTGTTGCGGCGACTATAAGAAGTTGCGGAGTTGACTCTATATGTAGTTGGGACTATTGGGGTTGGGGAAATTCGTCACTTCATAGTAGTGGAAATCACGGGGCGGAAAGGGAGGGGCTGAAAGGAGGAGTACTTGCTAGTGGCAGGGAAGGGCTCCTTGAAAGAGCTCACCTTGCGCTTGGGAATCCCACTGAAAGAGCTCACCTCAGGTGTAAAAATCCATTTCACGAGATAACTTTTGAGCCACTTAAAAGCTCACCTCGCGCCGCTTGGGGACCTTTTCCACGCGGTAGAAGTCATCGGCATTGAGGTTGTGCGTGCGGTGGTCCAGCAGCTTGGGGTCGGTCCCACGACCAGGGCGAGCCAGGGCAGGTCGCACCTGGGGGAGGCGCTACCTTGCGTTTGGGAATCTAGGTGCCTCAGAGCTCACCTCGCGCTTGGGAATCCTCTCCACGCGATAGAAGTCATCGGCGTTGAGGTTGTGTGTGCGGTGATCCAGCAGCTTGGGGTTGGCATCCCACGACCAGGGCGAGGTGGGGGAGGTCGCATCCGGGGGAGGGGGACGGAAGGCTGCACAACAATAGGAGGAGGAGGAAGAGAAAATACATTAGGGCCTGGGAGAGGGTTCGAGAAGGTGTAGGTTCAATCGGGGTAAGGAGGTTGAACAGAAAGCACAGGGAGATAGATTAAGGGTGGACAAGGTACCTACGGAACAGGCCAATGCTGGTGGTGGAGCTCAGCATACCGGATTTGGGGAGGCGTATGAATCGTTGGAAATTGTTGGCAGGTGGCTTGGTGTAATCCATGACGTCAGTTGTCGTGGCGTTTGTCACCTGCACAAGTTGAATGTGAGTTTAGTGGATTATCACGTGCTCGGGATAGGCTATTGAATGGTAGGTGTACACTTGTGTAGGGTTGAGCAAAGCTCTGAATCCCAATACTGTTCGAGTCGAACCTGTTTGATTCAAATCAATCAGCCACGCCCATAATAACACCGGCGAATGGATTGAGATGCCATGAAACCTTTTCTCTTCTCAGCACGCACTCAATCGGGTCGTTGCGTTCGCGGATAGGTCGCATTTGTCCCAACAACAGCTAACGTGAGGTCTCACCGGTGGGAGGTCGGAGATCACATCCTTTAGCACCAGAGCGGGCTTCAGCGTCTTCAACACAGGAGACCTCTCCTCCCACCCGACAAAGTTCCTCTGCAATCAAAGACAAAAGACAAAGACCAAGTCAAAGACAAACGACCAAATGAGACTTGGTTCACCGATTAAGCCTGTAAGGTGCCCAATTGGCTTGAAGAAATTCTAAGAAGAAAGGCCCTTCTTGAAAAGCTAGTGGGCAATTGCAGCCATCACTCACCATCCAGCGGGTGGGCACGCAACCTCTCTCCTTCGCGACGAGATGTGTGGGTAAGGGGAAGCTTGGAAGCGCCTGAGATGGTGAAGGTGGAGAAGAGGGGAGGGGGGAAGGGGAAGGGGAAAGGGGAAGGGAAGGGGGAAGAGGGTGCTTTTGAGTCAGCTCAAAAGCATGTGTGGGTAAGGGGAAGCTTGGAAGCGCCTGAGATGGTGAAGGTGGAATAGAGGGGAGGGAAGACTTTTGCAGCGCCTGAGATGGTGAAGGTGGAAAAGAGGGGAGGGGGAAGGGGAGAGAAAAATGGGAGAGGGGAGGGAAAGGGGGGGAGGCAGGGGGAATGGGAGGAAAGGGGGGAATGGGGGACGAGGGGGATGAGCAGGGCGCGGATCTACACATGCATCAGAAGATGACAAAAGGGAGGCTTGGCTAACATTGGGAGGAGTGATGGTCACCCGTGCCTTTGAGTCGAACCAATATTCGCCTTGGGAGACGTGCTTTGGGGAGTTGCGTGTGCTACACCTCCCTCCCTCGGTACAATGGGCAATGAAAATGCATATCAACAACAAAAATCACAGAAGAATGTGAAATGCAGAAGAATATGGATAGTTACATGGCCATTCAAGGCGCCGAAGAAGAACGCTCGGAGGCGAAACTGAGCGACTCCGAAGCACCCGGCGGCAATGATCCCCGTGCGAGACTGCAGGGGGGGGGGGAGGGAACGGAGAGGTGAAGAAAAACAAATGCAACTATTTCTTAACATCCAACATGTACCCAACCTCCCGCCCCCGTCATCCCATCCCAGCTCATCTTGTACCCCATGGCGACGAGGCGGGCGATGGCGTATTTGGCGAGGATGCCCTCCTTGAACTTCATGAGATCGACAACATTCTCCATGAGCACCCACGTGGGCGCCAGCCACCCCACCAGGTCCATGAACTGAGTCGACTCAAAACACTCCCCCCATCCCACCTCACCTTGTACCCCATGGCCTCGAGGCGGGTAATGGCGTGTTTGGCGAGGCAGCCTTCTGCCTCCTCCCCCTCTCGCCTCTCTCACCTTGTAGCCCATGGCCACGAGGCGGGTAATGGCGTGTTTGGCGAGGCAGGTAATGGCGTGTTTGGCGAGGCAGGTAATGGCGTGTTTGGCGAGGCAGCCTTCTGCCTCCTCCCCCTCTCGCCTCTCTCACCTTGTAGCCCATGGCCACGAGGCGGGTAATGGCGTGTTTGGCGAGGCAGGTAATGGCGTGTTTGGCGAGGCAGCCTTCTGCCTCCTCCCCCTCTCGCCTCTCTCACCTTGTAGCCCATGGCCACGAGGCGGGTAATGGCGTGTTTGGCGAGGCAGGTAATGGCGTGTTTGGCGAGGCAGCCTTCTGCCTCCTCCCCCTCTCGCCTCTCTCACCTTGTAGCCCATGGCCACGAGGCGGGTAATGGCGTGTTTGGCGAGGCAGGTAATGGCGTGTTTGGCGAGGCAGCCTTCTGCCTCCTCCCCCTCTCGCCTCTCTCACCTTGTAGCCCATGGCCACGAGGCGGGTAATGGCGTGTTTGGCGAGGCAGGTAATGGCGTGTTTGGCGAGGCAGTTAATGGCGTGTTTGGCGAGGCAGGTAATGGCGTGTTTGGCGAGGCAGGTAATGGCGTGTTTGGCGAGGCAGCCTTCTGCCTCCTCCCCCTCTCGCCTCTCTCACCTTGTAGCCCATGGCCACGAGGCGGGTAATGGCGTGTTTGGCGAGGCAGGTAATGGCGTGTTTGGCGAGGCAGCCTTCTGCCTCCTCCCCCTCTCGCCTCTCTCACCTTGTAGCCCATGGCCACGAGGCGGGTAATGGCGTGTTTGGCGAGGCAGGTAATGGCGTGTTTGGCGAGGCAGCCTTCTGCCTCCTCCCCCTCCCGCCTCTCTCACCTTGTACCCCATGGCCACGAGGCGGGCGATGGCATATTTCGCCAGAATGCCCTCCTTGAACTTCATGAGGTCGACGACGTTCTCCATGAGCACCCACTTGGGCGCCAGCCACGCCACCAGGTCCATGAACACCACCAGCTGCCGGTTCTTCTCGCAGGCTAGAGGGTCCTCTGTGTTCCTGAACCGGTTGAACCCGCTCACGCCTTGGCAGGGGGGGCCTCCACAGATGATGTCCACATCACCCTGGTATGGAATTGGGATGGGTGGAGAACAATGTCAGAATCCCAACCACTAAATCACTGAAATGAAACACACTTGTTAAGTAACGGGTCAGTGCACTCATAACTCCCCATATCAACGCGCTTGTAACCCTTAACATAGGATCAATCGAGCATCCCCAGTGTTGGTTTTCTAACACCCCCCTTCACAGGGATGCCTGCCCTAGGACACGGCGCAACGGCAGCACCGGCATGTGCACACATGGAGATTCGAACCTGAGATTCGAACCCATGTCAGAATCCCAACCACTACACCACTGGGATAAAAAGACATGTAACCCTTCTCTAGGATCAATCAGGCATCCCGTGCTAGTCTTCTGACAGAAAAGCATTAAGATCAAATGCGCAGCAAAGTGGCAGTAACCTGCTTGCACGAGCTGCAGCAATAAACAACCAAGATCTAAGACAGCACTAGCAACAACTGTGCGTCATTCATCGACAAAGGGAGCAGCATCTTAGGGCATATCTCAGTTCGGGTCATAAAGGCCACTTTGGGTCATGCGTGATTTTCGCATGACCAAAACCACTCAAAACGCCACTTCGGGCCATCCGTCCGCCAGCGACCCTCAGAGCGGCGCGCGAAGTCGTCATGCAAAATTGCCCGCCAAAGACCAGTCGCCTCTAATAGCGGGAGGCCAAAATACTTCGCAAGAGCATGAGCACCAATGCGTGCGACACCTACACAACATTTCCAACCGTCTAAATTCCCGGTGGGAATTCCCAAATTTGATCTGCGCGGCTCCCAAAATCAACCCAACCACAACCCATCGTTGGCTGAAGCGGGATAGGGTTTGACGACCGTCTCAAGGGTAAACCACAATCAAGGGTCGCGCAGCCAGCCGATTGGTTGGGGGTGGGTCGTGTACGTCAGTCGCAAGGAAGTTGCACATCGACCCAAAGTTGGGACCGCGCGTGCTTCGAAGGCTCACTTTGGGTCATGCGCAAAGTTCCGTATGACCCAAACAGCAGAATGAACAGTGCCCATGACCCGAACTGAGATACACCCTTATACTTCACCTCCACCAAATGGTCCTAGCCTGCTTGCACGAGCTGCGGAAAAAAAGAATCAAGAGCAGGGATCAGCTTATCAGCGTCTACGTGCCTCGTACCGGCTACGGGAGCAGTACCAGCTATAAATTCGTCTCCTTGACCTCCACCAGCTAGACATTGGAGCGGTCCTAGATAGCCTGCTTGGATGGATACTGCAGCAACGAAGAAACAAGAGCTGAGGCAAGGTGACACCTATGCACTTCTTACTCACCGGCAGAGGCAACAGCTTCTTCTCCTTCACCTCCACCAGGTAGTCCCGGATAGCCGGCTTGCATGAGCTGCAGCAACAAGCAACAGAGAGAGCATGTGCAGATGGCATTGTGTTGCCATGGTTAGTGCCATTGCAATGTTGTTGTTGTTGTTGTTGGCAACTGGTGGCATGGCATGGCATGGCATGGCATGTCATGTTGTGCAATGGTTAAGGGTACTGGCTCCAGGTTTTCCTTGAACACCAAAGAAAGAAGGCAAGAAAAGGCTGAACTAGTTAGGGCATGAGAGCTTCTCACTGTTGGTTGGCTAGGCAAAGCATGGCCTGGCAAGGTTTGGCGCCACAACAAGTTCGGGTATGGTAGAGAGCACTCACCTGAGGCTCTCTTCTGCTTCCCAGGTGTCCTCCTCTGGTCCGTACCCCTTCCACTGAACCTGCAGATATGAGACCAGATATCCCCAGCACAGATGTACATTGAGTGTGGTGCACAGGGCAAGAACACATGTGCATATCCTTTCATAATCCAGCTGTATGTAGCTACCCAAAACTAAAACGGAGGGGGAAAGAACCAGAGAGGAGAACAATTAGATCAAGATGCATGAGTTGGGATTTGAGGACATTTACAGCCGTCAAGCATGGAAGCAAAGAGAACAAGGGTCACACTCACGTCTCGCTACAGCTCATCTCACCTTGAAGTAAATGCCAGCCGGCCGCCCCTTCTCCGTGGCAGCAATGTACCTCACCCCGGCAATTCGCTCCACCTCAAACTCCCCCTCATCAATCTCCTCGTCACTGCTCTCCTCATCTTCCTCCTCTGTCTTCCCCCTCGCCGTCCCAGAGCTGCCCTTGCTGGCAGCACCGTTGCCCTTCTGCCGCTTGTTCCGGCCTGAGGTCCTCCTATTCTCGCACTCATCAGCTGACGCCCTCCTCTTCCCCTTCCCCCTTCCTTTCGCCTCAACCTCCTCCATCTCCTCTTCTATCTCCTCTATCTCTTCCACATCTCCCATTTCCACCTCTTTGCCGTTCCCCACCTTCGCTTTTGACCCTTCACCTCCCTGCTCCTGCTCCCGCTGCTGGTGATGAGAGTGGTGCACGACCTTGTGTTTGTGCGCAACAGCCTTACCGGCCTTCTCACCACCCGCACCCATCAGCACAGCTGGTGCCGCTGCTGCAGCAGCAGCTGTAGACCCACCGGACCCACCGGGCCCACCGGACCCACGAGGTCCTCCAGGGCCACCTGAGCCTGCACCGTAACGCTCCAGCAGGGACGGCAGCTCTTGCAGAATTGCCAGGAACTCATCTGCTGTCTCGTTGCGCACCTGAGTGGAAAGGAAGAGAAGAGAGGAGGGAGTGGAGTGGAGCTTTGGGGCCGCATCGGAACTGGACCAGCAGGGATGGCAGCTCTTTCAGAATCGCCAGGAACTCGTTTGCAGTCTCATTGCGCACCTGAGTGGTAGGCGGGAGCGATGAGAGAGAACTGTAGCGTTCGATGCAGTCAATGCTCCCTGGTTTTTAACTGCTCCCAGAATGGAAAGAGATGTGTGGAAGTGCCTGCACGTGCCTAGCAGTGTGTATGGCTGTACGCACCTGGCAGAGTGGGTGGTTGTATCTCATACTCTCGCATGCAGCAGCATTGAAGTCCACGGACCAGCACTGCATCACATGGGGCAAGCAAGCACAGTCAGAGCAGACATGGCAATAACAGTATGAGATGGGCTAGTTTGAGAATAACGGTCGAACAACATCAACGGCATGAGATGGGCTCATGCAACGTGTACTTATTTCCAACGAAACAATAAAAAAACATCAGGGTTTGATGACTAGTTCACTTATCACGTCACAGTGCCTCTGGGCCTTGGGGTGTCACCATATGACACGGCGCCCCTGGACCGAATTATATCACTGGAACAAGACTGACTCCCCCATATCGCCGAGACTCAGATTGCAGACGCTCAGGTTCAGGGTTCTAGATTGAGGGTCCAGGGTCTTGGGTTGAGACATTCCAGTGACAAACTCACACTGTCAACGGTGACGCCCCTGGGAGTGCTGGCCGATGTAATCTTTGCGGATATGGCACCACAGCCACTGAACTAGACGGGCATGATCTGACGCATGGTCTGCAGCAGAACCCTTTTGAACCGACTCATAACTCACGGAGTCAATGGTGACGCCCCTGGGAGTGCCGCTCATCTCGATCCCCCCTGGGACATGGCACCGCAGCCACTGTTCATGTCCATCATCAGGCGCATGGTCTACTCTGCAGCACAAGGCTTTTGAACCGACTCAGAACTCACAGTGTCGATGGTGACGCCTCTGGGAGTGCCACCCATCTCAATCCCCGTGGACATGGCACCACAGCCACTGTACATGTCGAGCATCGTCAAACGCATGGTCTGGGGCGGGAGGATCACTTTAGCAGGGGCGACAGCAGTCCGAGCCACACCTCCCGACACCCGCCCTTTCTTGCTGCCCGATGCAGCTTTGCTTTTTTTCACTCCTTCGTCCTCCTTTCTGTCCTCCTCTCCGTCCTCTTCCTTTCCTTCCTCTCCCTTCTCAACTTCTCCCTTCCCTTCCTCGCCCTTCCCATTTTCTTCCTTTTCCACTTTGACCTTCTTGCAACTATCTCCCACAACACCTGCACCATCCATTGCCCCACCGCTCTCCACCTTCATAGAGCCTACAACAGAGCCTTCAACCTTCCCATTCGCCCCTGTTTCTTCTTCTTTAATCCCTTCCTCGCCCTTCCCATTTTCTCCCCTCCCCTCTTCGCCCTCTACTGCCCCAGCACTCTCTACTGCACCCTCTACTGCCCCAGCAGTCTCTACTGCACCCTCTACTGCCCCAACACTCTCCAGCTTCGTAGTGCCTACATCTGCACCTTCAACCTTCCCCTCTGTCCCATTCCCTTCTTCTTCCTTATGCTCTCCCTTTTCTTCCGCCCCCTTTCCATTTCCCCCACTCTTATCCTCGCCCTTCGCTTGACTATCTCCCCCCTTACTCACACACTCCACCACCCCACCGCTCTCTATCTCCCCCTTACTCACACCCTCCACCACCCCACCGCTCTCAACCTTTACATCTTCCACCACTGTGCCTTCTGTCTTCCCATTTGCCGTCTTATCTTCAAGCTCCGCAATCCCGTTCACTCCCGCTGATCCTTCAACAGTCCCTTCTACACCACCCGCCCTCTCGCCGTCGCCCTCCACCTTACCGCCCTCTCTCTCCCCTCCCCCCTGTCCTTCCCCCGCTTCCACACTCGCTCCAGCATCCCCTCCATTACCCTCTTTCATCTGCCCTTTCCCCCCTGTCCCTAATCCCCCATTTCCGTTAGCACACTCATCTCCCAGGTCACTCTTATCCTTCTCAACAGCCCCCTCCTCCTTCTTGCTCTGCAATGCCTTCTCTCCTCCATCTCCCCCATGCGTCCCATTGCACACTGCCTTCCTCTCCACATCAGGAAGTTCCCCCTCTCCTCCCCCATGCATCCCGTTCATTCCAGTGGGGTGGACAGCCGGTGGGTCTGGAAGGCAGTCCAGCCTTTGCTCGCCTGTAGGGAGTTGGAGGGAGGTGGAGCAGAGGAGAGGGGAAGAGGAGATGGGGTATGGGAGAAGGGTGAAGGGGGGGGTCGGGAGGGGGAGAGGGGGAGGAGCAGGAGGAGGAGGAGGAGGAGGAGGAGGAGGAGGAGGAGGAGGAGGAGGAGGAGGAGGAGGAGGAGGAGGAGGAAGAGCAGCAGCAGGAGGAGGAACAGGAGGAGGAGCAGGAGGTGGGGGACGAGTGACAACTTATCAGCTCGAAAGTCACACATATATGACGACAACACAATAGTCGAGCACTGAGCCACTGCAGACTACTGGCGTCACTCTAGTGGAGCCACAATACATCCAAAAACCGACCAAGAAGCACTCTATTTTATTCTCAGAAGGCGCGAGCGAGTGAGCAAGCCACACTTACACTCGTCATTGGGAATGTCGGAGAAGGAGGCAAAGTCGTACGAGTACATGTGGTAATACACGAAATCCGTGTCTGCTGGTATGTCCAAGGGCTCCTGGGGACCCGACTGATGTGTGGGCGCAGAGACAAAGGAAGAGCAGCAACATAGGCCAAAGGGGAAAACTTGAGAGCACATGTGGTAGTAGAGAGTACATGGTGCATTGCCGTGCTGGTGTCTCCAACCGCAGGCTGGACTGAAAGAAAGAGGGCAGAGGCGAAAGCAAGCCAACTGCAGTGCACGCAGTGAGTTACAAAGCTTCTGGGTACTTCACAGCACCCAGGGCATGACGTGTCCAGGTTCATCGTGCTGGAGGTTTGACTCGCTTGACTCTGACTCTCCCCGTGATGCAGCTGGCAGGGTCCGGCTCCTGCAACCAGAAGCACACACGCGGATCCACATAACCCCCCCAACGCCCCCAGTAATGCCGTGCCCAGGTTCATCGTACCGGAGGTTTGACTCGCTTGACCCTGACTCTCCCCGTGATGCAGCTGGCAGGGTTGTCGTCCGTTTCCCGCGACCAGAAGCACACGCGCGGATCCACAATGCCGTCCCCCAATGCCCCCATCGCCTGGTAGTGGGGAGTGCGGAGCAGCGTGAAGGAGAGGGAGAGGGGGAAAGGGGAAGGAAGAAGGGAGTGGGGACGAGAGAAGGGGGAGGGAGGAAGGGTAAAGGGGGGGGAGTGGGACAGGTCTGATGAAGAGCGCAGGCAGTCAGAGCGTTCACACTGGTGGTGCAGCAGATTTCACATCGGAGCACCCACCGTTTTTCTATTGATTTTTCTAATGAGAAGGAAGGGACTAGGAAAACTTATTCAACATGTTTGGGAGCTGAAAGAAACACTGGCAGTCAGCACGATGACAGTCAGCGCACTCTCATTGCAGAAGAATCAGCATGCGAGCACTCACAGTATCGCTGTACCGGAAGTACCAGCGCAGCAAGCATGACACTTCCCCCTTGGCGGGCTTGAATATCTCTTTGATCGTACCCATGAAGTCCGGACCATTGGGCTCGCCCTGCCACCAAAACAGCACACAGTTGCATGGGCAAAATACTTTTGTGAGTTGACTCGAATAGCAATGATTCTCCCTTGGCGGGCTTAATTTAACTTCCTGTACCGTATCATACATTTTCGGACGCTTGGGCTCGCCCTTCCATCAAACAGGAGACTCGAGTTTTGATGGGAGAGTCCATCGTTACTGCAGAGCCAAGTAGTGACTCTTGAAGCGACTCAAGATTCACCTCTATCACCACGCACCTGCACAGTAACATCGTCGCCGAGCTTGAACAGGTGACCGTCCATGGTTACTGCGGAATAGTGCTTGACTCCCTTGACCTCCTTGCACCGTTCTGGCCACCGTACGCTCGCTTCACGCTTCGGAATCGCGTCCTTCTCTTCCACAGACGCATCCTCACCCTCCTGTTCGTCCTGTTCCTCCTGCTCCTCTTCCTCATCCTCCACTTCCTCCTCCACTTCCTTTGCTTTTGCCTTCCCCTTCCCGTTCACCGCCGTCTCCTCCTCTTCGTCCGCCTCCTCTAACTTCTCCACCTCCTCCACCTCCTCCGTTTTCCGCAACTTAGAAGCCTTTTTGTTAGCTTCCATCCGGGCCTTTTCGTCCTTGTCGACCCTTCTCCTCGGCTTTCTCTTTGATGAGGAAGCAGACGAACGTGCAGAAGCGGAGGGAGGAGAGACGGAAGCAGCTCCGTTTTGAGGAGCACGAGAGGCGGAACGCCTTGGAGGCCTCTGTGAGGATTCATGAGGCAGGACAGGATATCAAGGGGAATATCAAGATCATGTCACACGACTACATTCCTTTACTTTCAGAAGTATAACAAAACACACGATGCAGACTTCATGTCGCGAGTGTAGCATTCAGTCGACGCTAGATCCAATTGCACGCAAGTCGCGATGCATTATTCGCTTCGTGATGAGCCGTGCAGAATCCGTGCAGTGCAGTCTTACAGGAGCTGCATTTTCTCATTGCATTGAGTCATTGTAGAAAAACGCTTCGCGCAGCCGTGCAGAAGCCCTGCAGCCTTACAAGAGCTGCATTTTCTCTGAAAGTGAAGTCATTGTAAAAAACGGTTCGTGCAGCCGCAGAGGCTACATTTTCTCAATCATACTACCCCCGCCTGAGCAGCACTGCTTATTGTCCACTGACATCATTTAAGTTCATGTACATACCTATCAGCATATCATCATAGCAAAGCTTCCAAAGGTCGCATTTGCCGGATACATTCCTCATTTTCTGCTAACTCTGCCACAAGCAGCAACTAACGTCCATTGACAGAGTAGCAGGCTTCCTCTGCAGGCATTGTTACTATATGTAATTAACTACTTTAGCAGGTGCACGACTTCACATTCGTGGCAGACTGCTAGCTTCATCCGTCTCACCTGCCGTTCGGGTGACGTCGTCATCTTGGTTGCTGGACTCCGTTTTCCCACCATTTCGAACAGAGAACTGCTTATATATTTTAATCGAAACGGTAAGCGTACGCGTATTATTAACCTGGCTCGGTAACTTAATAATGGCTGGAGTCCAGACAAACTAAGGTGGTCAAGACGTAAGCAGTATTCCACGGACACGATCAGAAGAGAACTTGAAGGTGATCATCCCAATGTGAACTTGGAGTTGACGAGCAGATCATTTCCATCTTGTTTGTGTCCAGATATTTCCAGGGCAGGATCCTTGGCCAATGCTGGCAAGGTGTAGCTCTTGCAGGTCAGACAAAAAATGCTTGTGGCCGCACTTCTTCAGAATCGTGAGCCGAGGCGTCATTTTGAAGATTTGAACGCATGAAAATTGGCGGGACTTTCATCCCCGATGTGAGAGTATCGATGCATGTAGCCGTAACAACCAGCTTATCCTCTACCAGCCCACAGAAATTCACGTGAAAAATATTTCAGTGTGAACAGCCTACCTTTACAGGGATTTTATTCTACCTTGTGTTTTGATGCTCACTTTTGGAAAGTGAGTTACTACCATGATTAGAGAAATGAAGGATACGCGATTCTTAACACATTCACCACGGACAAAATGTATGTACAGAAGGGAGTCAAGCCAGATTCAGCTGCCTCTACCCAAGCAAATTTCCCAGTTTGCTTGATCCAGAAACTCATCTACCTATACAAAATCCCGCATTCCATTGTCATCCCCTCTGCACTAGTTCTTGTCTGAAGGCAGCTGAAGCAGCAACGGAAGCTTGGCATCATCGTCACTGTGTCCAGCACCCACCATACCCTCAACCGGGGGAAGTGAGGAACACAGACCAGCCTTCTTGCAGACCTTCTTGGGGTCCAGCACCTTGGGCAGCTCCTCGAAAATAACCGGCAGAATGTCCTGGGCTGCGCTAATGCACTGTGGGAAACACGGTGAGGTGGGAGGACGTACAAGTTAATAACAATGGATGGACCAACAGGCTGGAGAGCGAAAGTACCGTAGCTGACAAGATGTGCTGGACTGAGTATGGACTTGCCTCAGCCGTGAGACTCTCATTGGAAAGCTTGTTGCACCTTCCAATAACGAAGTCCATGATGCGTGCCTGGTGAGGATGGGGGGAGAGAGTGAAGACAGCACTCAGAAGTCAAATCCCAACCAAGCACACACACACACACACACACACAGTGGTCATTGCTCCCTTCATCGTATTGCATCCCACCCATCTCAGTCCTTCCTAACCCTTCATCACATTGCATCCCACCCATCTCAGTCCTTCCCCCGGCCCACCCAACGCTCTTATGCTTTCAGGCAAATCACCTGCATCTTGGGGTCCGAGAGCCTCTTCCTGATCACCCGCACCATCATGAGGCACGCCACACAGTCCTCCCGGTTATGCAGCGCGTTCTCATCCTCCACAGCAGCCACCTCAGCGATGACATTTGCTGCACCTGCCACGTCCTCGGGGTCAGATACAGCCTCCCCCAGAAGCGCCTCCTGGATGGTGTACGCCAGGATGTCTTTTGGAGTTGCTGGGGTCAGATCAACGGCTGGATTTGTTTCATCAGGACTCGGTGGGCAGATATGGAACCGCACACAGACTTTGTCGACGGTGATTTCATTGTCCATTTCGGCGATGACCAGCGGCACGTATTGCTCAACGAGCGCGTTGCACTGAGAAAGGGCGAGAAAAGAGAGATTACAGAAACACATACGTGAGCTGCATAACTCCGGGAACCGAACGAGGCTAAGAACGCCAGACGAGGCGGATTAAGGCGAGAGAGAGAGAGAGAGAGAGAGAGAGAGAGAGAGAGAGAGAGAGAGAGAGAGAGAGAGAGAGAGAGAGAGAGAGAGAGAGAGAGAGAGAGAGAGAGAGAAGATTCTAAACGCGTGCGGTGTAAAGCGCGTCGTTCCTACCTTTGTCTTCCAACTGACAAACCTACCACGTCGTAATCCCGCTTTCGTCAATGCCCCGTCGACACTAGTTTTTGCCCACTCTGTTTTCAGCGCAGAATTAGGAATCCCGAGAGTCGCAGAAAAGGCGAGGCTCACCTTGGCTTCCTTCTCCGCGTCGAGCTGCGAGCACGCGTAAGTTTCAACGATGTCGATTAGGTCAGAAGCGGTGTCAGGAGCCGACAGCACCATGTGCGCCTGAAGCACCGCCGACATGCACGCCGGGCACAGCTGGTCCAGAGGACCCGATTCAATCACATCGGCTGTCGGGAATAAGAAACGGATGGAAGCAACGGCGTCATCAGGAGACTAGAAGCCCGTTATAACGGTACGGGGGACCCGATTCAATCACATCAGCAGTCGGGAATAAGAAACGGATGGAAGCAACAGCGTCATCAGGAAACTAGAAGCACGTTATAACGGTACGGGGTGCTAAATAATAAGCGGCAAACAATCACAAGGTAGTTGATATTGCAAGGTTTAGGTTGATAAGGTGTACACACAGGACGACGAAAGCGGCCGAGCGTGGCATCCCAGCACCAACAGCGCGGAAGCAACAGCAATTACGCAAAGAGCAGTCAAAAGCTTCGCCATGGCCCGACTGTTAGAAGAGGAGCAAAACTTGCACCTATGACGGGAGCGTGAGAGGCAACAAACAGGCGCGAAGGCCTACTACTACGAATTAGTAACAGAAGAGCACTAAAATAGTGACTGGGTGCTAGTCTTGGGGTTTCAGTCAATGTGAGGCATCACGAACAAGGTTCGGCGAAGCGGCGACAACCGCCACTCGTTTCGCAGCAACGCTCGGCTTAGCTGAGCAGTCAGCCATGCTGGATGTTACGCGCTTGTCCTGTCTGGTTCAACCTCGTGGTCATCGCACGCTAGAGTATCCGCTTTGCAGGTACTCGATAGCGGGAATGCCTCAGATTTTTACACTAAAGAAGATCATACGCTCACTCTTACACCAAATCACACTTTCAGTTCAGGTGTCTCCATCGCATCGCGAAAGTGCATCCAAATAAACAGGCTTTTTATTTATGGAATGCATAATAAAATCTAAAACAAAACCTTGAAACTGCTTACTATAATTACACACACACAAACAAACATACAAGCATACAGTCAATGAAACACTACCGGTACTTGTCACACCTCACTCCAGCCCCCTTGCACCTCCCTATTGATGCCCAGAAATCCCCTCGCTCCTCCGGTGCAGCACTACCATGCCCTGTCCAAAGCCTACAATGCTTAGCAGACTGTAATTTTATTACTACACAAAACAAGCCGTTTGCCAGTTCACCGACAAACAATGTGGTCAGGAGAGGAGAACAAACAGCACAATCAATCACGGCGGTTGTTCTGGTTGCTGGGAGCAGCAGACCACCCAAACGCACTCCCCTCCTCCCCTCCATCCCACCCCCCCGCGCCCCATCCACTCCCCCCACTGCTGCCACTACTGGCACCACCACTCCTGCCACTGCCACCGCTGCTAGACAGCCCCCGGATATCCCTCCAGATCTTCTTAACAGTCGCCAGCACATCGTCCCACTCTAGCTTGTCGAGAAGCACGCTGTGATTGGTCCAGATGGAGTAGGTGATGGCAGAGATAAGGCCGAGCCAGACGAGCATAGGTAAGTAAAGTAGGGAGGCGACAGGCGAGGCTCGGTAAAAGACGAGGAAGGTGGAGAGGGAGGAGACGGTGAGGGCGCCTGGGGGAGGAAAGAGAGGAGAGGGAGGGGAGAGGAGGGAGGGGGGCCGTGACAAGGGAAATTAGACATGAAGATGGGAAACGTAGAGAAGGCAAGAAGAGGGGCGAGGCGAGGGAGAGGCGAAAGAAAAGCGAGGGGAGAAACGAGGGGAGAGGAATTGGAGCGGTGAGGGAGATGCGAAAGGAGAGGCGAGGGGAGAGGCGAGCGATAAGCACTGACCGGTGGGATCAACTGAGCAGAGGTGAAGGAGTTGAATGGAGGAAAATGGACATTGAAATCCAGTTACCACTCGAATTGGCGCTTACGGTATATCCTGTTTACAGTTCTCGCTGTTGCCTAACCTGCGACTCGCCTAAATTGCGACTGGCCTTACCTGCCCCTCTCCTCGGTAGGAATTCTGAACATGACACCTGGAATCCTGGAAAGTGGCCTTTTACAGTTCCATACTCTCTTTTCCCAAGGGCATTGACTTGCAAAACCTGTATCATGCTGCACTTCTTACCATTACCTGCTGCCGCCTTCCCTTACCAGCAACTGCAGCCGCCGCGTCGATCTTTTTCAGGCGGAACATGACGATTGGCCACAGCAGCCCAACGGCTAGTTGCACCAGATAGATCTCCATCGCGCCGCGCTGCCTCGCCCATCCGCCTTGCCGCAAAACCATCCATGACGCCGCGCCAGCTGGCAGCTGCAGCACCGTCCACGTGGCAGCCAGCAGCCAATCGGGCGGCGCGAAAGAGGGTGGGTTCAGGCTGCGGAACCACCGGTCCGCGTCGCGTTCCCCGAAGCCCGCGGCGGCGAACGCAGCGGCGGTGGCGGCGACCGGAATCACGACCGCCGCGGTGAGCGGAAGAAGCTGGCGCGCGAGAGCAGGGATCGTGTTGCTGGCGGCCGGAGAGCGCGCGGCGGCAGCGACGCCGGAGTTGGCGGCGCCCGGGGCGGCGGAGGGCGCGGGAGGCGCGGAGCCGAACTTGCCGAGGTACTTAGCGCCGACGACGAGACGGCGGGAGGCGCCGTGCTGAACCGGCGCGCGGGGGGAGGACGGCGCGCAGACGCCACCGCGGCGCGGCGGAGGGTGGACGGAGAAGGAGTGAGAAGCGAGCCGCTTTCGCGCGAGAGGGAAGTCGAGGCGCGCCACACGGAAGCTGCGGACGAAAATGCCGAGGAATTCGTCCCGAGGTGATTGAAGCCGCGGAAGCCATTACAAAAAGTTACGGCAAGCCGTCGTCTTGATAATACGCAGATAGTTAGGTCGGGACGGAAAGCCGTGCGCGAGGTGCATATAGTTTCCCCCGACCGCCACAAATAGTTCCCCAGGAAAGAATAGGTGCAGCACACAGGCAGACGTGCAGTGTTGAATGGAGCTTTGGTCCAGTTGAAACTTGGAAGTGTGGGGGTGTCTCATGGAGAGTCTTGCGCAGATGCCAACCCCAGTGAAGTCGGGGGGTGGGGGGGAATACTAAACCACTACAGTATGAAAATGGGATTCTTGCACCAAATTTGCAGCGTGTGAGGGGACGAACATTGTACGCGCGGGAGGATTCTCGATACGGCAATCTAGTAAGGGTGCTTTACACAGCACTCCAACTGATTGGATATGGATATGAATTTACACAATTGTGATGTGCACTCTAAGCTCCGTACATTTTCCATCAAATGGCAAATCGGCCAATTTCCTCCACGCCTACTCCTCTTCCACCCACGCTTGCAAATCACCATTTCCACGTCCACCCCACCTAGAACCCCCCACAGAGACCACCAATCCTCCGTCCAAAACCGCTAAATGCCTAAGACCCCCACTGGTCCTCCACGAACTGATGATTTCCTGGCGAGATCAGCTCTCCAGCCAAGAATCCCAAGGCCTAGGGATGGATGTTCTGTCTGCTTTTGCTGCTGCTGTAGATTTCTTTTAGCGAGGACGGTTGGGACCAGGAATTTTTGATGGATGGAAGGAGAGAATGGGGGGTTCTAAGGAGGGGAGGAGTGCACCTGAAAAGATGTGCCAATCGCTGTTGAGAGCAAAGGAGAGATGGGGAGAGCTGCCAAGGAGAAAATTCAGAAGATGAAGGAAACGAAGACAAACGGAAAATATGAGACAAAGATGATCCAGATGAACTGGGGTTATTAGTGCCAGAAGCTTTGAATTGGAGGACGGAAACACCCCGAACCGAGGGAGGAGACAGTGGATGCGTGACGGAGCATTGCCTTACCAGACAGGGCAGGAGGGGGAAGGCAATTCCGTCCATGTCCACTTGGTGGTTGCTGCCCTCCCTCCCTGGCCATCTCGCCTCACCCTCTCCCTCCTTCCCCAACCCTCCCCTCCAGATCCCTCCCCGCCCCCCACCTCGCCCCCCCCTCCTCCATCCCCATCCTCCTCCTCTATGCCCTCCTCCTCCACCCAGCTTCTCGTGCCTCCCACCACACTCCTCCTCGCTTTCTTCTGCCATACCACCATCCGAACCACTGCCTTGCACTCTACTCTGTTCGTTCCCTTCCACATACCCATTCATGTCGTTATTCCTCTTCACCCTCCATCCCCCTTTCTCTCCTCCCCCTCCGTCCCCTCCACTTCCTCCCCAATCCGCCCCCTCCAGGTCTTCACTCAGTCGCATCGCAACAACCTCGCCAGGCCGGGACGACACGCCCATGTACACACACCGACCAATCACCGACGAGAACAGCACCACCTTCCCGTGCGCACCAATCGCGTCGCTCAGCTTCAGCTGACGTGGAACAGGAGGGCCTCGCTCCAGGCACCTGTTGACGAGTCAAACACGGCCACCTGCAACGGAGAGAGTGATTCAATGCAAAAGCAACAAGATTTTTCGTTTATTTTTCTTTTGATTATTTTCCTTCTTTTTTTTCGTACAGTGGAAGCAGCGCCTGTTGTTTCTGTGATTTTGGTGTGACACGCAAAGACGCGTCACCTTGTTGACGTGGCAGAAGGGGTAGGAGCCCCCCAGTCATCGTCGGTGCCAACGCGAGGCGAGGAGGTAGCTCCCCACCACCTCCACACACCGCACGAAGCGCGGCTGAATCTGTTTTTGAGAATTCTCAAAAACAGATCCACACACGAACGAAGCAAGGCGTCTAGTTTTGAGGCGCCTCAAAACGTTTCTGCGATTTTGTCAAGGTGCGGATGCTAAGGCGCGTAGGAGTACCTTGTGGACAAGTGGCAGAAGGGGTAGGAGCCACCCGAGTCGTCATCGGTGCCAAACGCGAGGAGGTAGCGGCCCACCACCTCCACACACCGCACGAAGCGCGGCCCTCGCCATGGCAGCGCGAACCACCGCGACAGCACTGCCGTAAGCAAAAGCAATGAAATTATATAATATCTGGGGCAAATCTTTGAGGAGAGTACGAGCAACAGCTAGCATGCACGATGCTGTGTCCTGCACCTGGGGAGTAGGCGAACCAGAAGGGGCTGCGCAGAGGGATGAGATGCAGCCAGCTCTCCGTGGCGCCTATGTGACTCCTGTGCCTGGTGAGAGAGAGACGCGGGAGATACGCGAGTAGCGGGAGATGCGCGAGTAGCGGGAGATGCGCGAGATGCGGGAGATGCGGGAGATGGGCGGGTGGGGGGGGGGGGGAAGAAGGGAGGAGATGATGCGAGAGGAATTTAGAAGCTCCGCGCCAAAGCAACTGGAAAAAGAGAGG